CGAATGAATAAAAGCTGCTCATCGTAAGCATGCCTGCTAGTGGTAAATGGATTGTCTCAACCCTCTAAATGCTACATCTGCAAGAGATCATTTTCTGTTAAAAACAAGACTTACTGGCAGGATCCCCAGATGGAAATAAAAGGAATGAGAACCTAAAAAGAAAACTAATACAGCCATCATATCTATGAATTAGTAAGCTACAATATAATACATTTTTCCTTTTGGGTTTAATACCGCTTTAAGCATTAGTCAGCATGTTGCAGGTAAAGAGTGTTGCAAATGACAGAGATGTTGGAGCTTAACAGATCCTGGACATCATAATAGATGTCCCCCTATTGTGTCCCTTCTGCATTCAAATTGCCTGATGAAGGGGCCCTGCCTGGCTCCGAAACCTCCTTACCATGTGACCACAAAATAAAGCTTTGGACCCATTTTGAGGAATCCTTGGTGTGCTGGTGATGTTTCTTCACTTGGATTGTCTACAGTTCCAAGCCTGTGGTCACTACAGCACCCAGCAATACCAAACAGCCATTTTCAGGAATATGTGCATGGGGATTATTGTGTTTTGACCTTCCTCATTCAATGACTAGTATCATGTTCCAGCTTGACTATTACAACACACATTCCTATGTGGCCTTCCAACAAACGGACCAGCACCACTCCAGCCCATCGTGACCTCTTCTGCATCACTTATCAATGTCTATGTTGCTCCTCCAAGTCTTCTCTTCATTAGCCCTTCCACAGGTCACTAGTTATGCAGGGACTACAATTCTAACTTTTCAAGCTGCAAAACTCTCCATTCTGGCCCCTAAATACATTTCCTCACTAATTTCCAGGTACCCTAAGCACAAAGTCTACTTTCTCTAGTCTCTATGGCTGAATTTATACCTGTAGGTTGTGGTAACATATGGCAAAACCCATGTATTGTCTTGTAATACTGAAACATACCATAACGCATGAAACCCAGTGCATTGCCTTTCATTTTACTGTAACCCAAATTCACCTAGACCAGTGATGGCGAACCTTTTTGAGCCCGAGTGCCCAAACTGCAACCCAAAACCAACTTATTTCTTTCAAAGTGCCAACACTGCAATGAAAACCTGAATATCGAGCTTTTGGTTTAGAAAAAACAACTCGTACAGTAGTGCAAACTAATTAACAGTACAGGGATGACCAGAGACTGCGGACAGTACAGGGATGACCAGAGACTGCGGACACAGTACAGGGATGACCAGAGACTGCAGACACAGTACAGGGATGACCAGAGACTGCGGACACAGTACAGGGATGACCAGAGACTGCGGACACAGTACAGGGATGACCAGAGACTGCGGACACAGTACAGGGATGACCAGAGACTGCGGACACAGTACAGGGATGACCAGAGACTGCGGACACAGTACAGGAGATGACCAGAGACTGCGGACACAGTACAGGAGATGACCAGAGACTGCGGACACGGTACAGGGATGACCAGAGACTGCAGACACAGTACAGGGATGACCAGAGACTGCAGACATAGTACAGGGGATGACCAGAGACTGCAGACACAGTACAGGGATGACCAGAGACTGCGGACACAGTACAGGGATGACCAGAGACTGCGGACACAGTACAGGGATGACCAGAGACTGCGGACACAGTACAGGGATGACCAGAGACTGCGGACACAGTACAGGGATGACCAGAGACTGCAGACACAGTACAGGAGATGACCAGAGACTGCGGACACAGTACAGGAGATGACCAGAGACTGCAGACACAGTACAGGAGATGACCAGAGACTGCGGACAGTACAGGGGATGACCAGAGACTGCGGACAGTACAGGGATGACCAGAGACTGCGGACACAGTACAGGGATGACCAGAGACTGCGGACACAGTACAGGGATGACCAGAGACTGCGGACAGTACAGGAGATGACCAGAGACTGCGGAAAGCACAGGGATGACCAGAGACTGCGGACAGTACAGATGACTGCTGACCTTTGGGGAGGGAGGGGGAGCGGGTACCTGAATTTGACAGGTACCCGCTCTTACTTCCGCAGAGTTTTTTTTTTTTTATCTTACCTGTTTCTTTATCCAGCCGCGCGCTGTCTTCCGGCTTCTGTAGTGTGGGCGCTCGTCGGACAGCCGGATGCCCAGTGCGCATGCGCGAGAAGCGCTGCGCTTTGTGATTGGTCCGGCGGCTTCTGGGATCTGTCATGTGTCCCAGGTACCGCCTTACCATTCACAAAGAGCACTGCTTCTTGCGCATGCGCACTTGGGACCCGGCTGTCACGCACACTACAGAAGCCGGGAAGACAGCGCGCCGCTGGATAGAGGGACAGGTAAGGTCCCAATGCAGAGCTGAGCGGCCGGCCCGGTATTCTGACACGGCGGCGGTGGAAATACCGGACCGGCCGCTCTATATTCGCTCCATAAGACGCACTGACATTTTCCCCCCTTTTTTTGGGGGAAAAAAAGTGCGTCTTATGGAGCGAAAAATACGGTATTTCTCCTGGCGTGCCCACAGATAAGGCTCGGCGTGCCGGCTGTGGCACGCGTGCGTGCCACGGGTTCGCCATCACTGACCTAGACCCACAATGCATGTGTGAACACTTCTCAACGATCTGTGCATTTTATTGCGCTGCAGTGAAAAAAATATTGCAGGTGCGTTATGATCTGCGTTGAGATGTGTGGGCAGCGCATTCAAAATGAAAGTGCTGCCTTTCCACAATGTATGTTAATGTCCAAAGTACAGCATGTCAGTCAAGTGATAGCTGGCTAACTGGCTGGCAGTTTGAACTGGCTTTCTTATCCCCCTCTTTTGATAAGTTATACTTATCCATGTTCCTTGCTGACAATAGCCATTATTAGACTGGGGTAGGCTGGCAAGTTGAACTGGATAGTCCTATTTTTTACTTTGTGACGCCTTCCATGTTCACTGTTTAAAAAGCCAGTTATAGACCTGGGTAGGTGACCAGTTTTTTCTTTGTATGTTAATTTTGGAGGTTCAGTGGGTGCATTGGACACCCTGGCTGCCGTTGTGCTACATGCTGGGTGTCAGGTGCGCTCCCATGACCTTAATGAGGGGTGGGCTCCCTCAGGTTCACCTGCCCTTGTTTCTATCCATTTAAATGCATGTGCCTCCATTGTGAGGACTCTCAAAATTTATAGAGTTAGGACCACAGATACTCAGGGTGCCGTGATGTGGCTCTGTGGCTTAAGTATGTATTTGCAAATGTGTGCTAACTAAACCCCTGTTTTTAAACGCATGTTCTTAGGTTAATTTGTTTTTTGATAGTTTGCTAACTGGCTGGCAGTTTGAACTGGCTTTCTTATCCCCCTCTTTTGATAAATTATACTAATCCATGCTCCTTGCCGACAATAGCCATTATTAGACTGGGGTAGGCTGGCAAGTTGAACTGGATAGTCCTATTTTTTTTTACTTTGTGACGCCTTCCATGTTCACTGTTTAAAAAGCCAGTTATAGACCTGGGTAGGTGACCAGTTTTTTCTCAGTTTTTTCTAGGTCTGAATGGGCCCTTAGTGTTTTGGGGCAATTTTATTTCCTTCCTTGTTTTAACCACTTGCCCTCCAGAGGATTTAACCCCCTTCCTGACCAGGCTATTTTTTGCGATACGGTGCTGCGTTAATTTAACTGACCATTGCGCGGTCATGCAACACTGTACATAAATGAAATATATGTCCTTTTTTCCCCACAAATAGAGCTTTTTTTTTTTTTTTTGGTGGTATTTGATCTGTGTTTTTTATTTTTTGCGCTATAAACAAAAAAGGCAGACAATTTAAAAAAAAAAAAACAATGTTTTTGACTTTGCTATAAAACATATCCAATAAAAAAAAATTAAAAAATCACATTTCTTCACAAATTTAGGCCAAAATGTATTCTGCTACATGTCTTTACTAAAAAATCCCAATAATTGTATATTTATTGGTTTACCTGAAAGTGATAGCGTCTACAAATGGCGGTATATATACTGGAATTTTTTTTTTTATACTAGTAATGGCGGCAATCAGCGATTTATAGCGGGACTGTAGGGGGCATTCTCACACTGGGGGGGAGCTAACTGCCACTGACATTCCCATTGACACTAATACAGTGATCAGTGCTAATAAAAAAGCACTCACTCTGTACTAATGACACTGGGCAGGAAGGGGTTAATATCTGGGGCGATTTTACATTGTGTGCTCTTTTACTTGGGAGAGATACAAAGAAGCATAGCCATGCTGACAGGAGAGAGATCTGTGTTGTTTACACACAGGTCTCTCCCCTGTCAGCTTTGCTGACGATTCCCGAGTCCCGCCCGGGACCTGATGATTGACATCCCCAGCCGCCAAAAGCCACGCGGATAGGGCGCCCGCACCTGGAAATGCAAATCACACATATATATATATATATATATATATATATATACACACACACACACGTATGTGATTTTGCGCAGCCGTGCCGCCCTGTAGCAGTACTTCTGCTATAGGGCGGATGGCAAAACTGGTGGGTTTTTGTTGTTTGTTTCTATACAATCATTATTTTACAAATAAATATTTTGTTAAAGGGTGTATAAATCACTGTGTTTGGAAAACATCTAGTTAAAGGCTCTATTCCCCTTTCTGTGTTGTAGGAATATAGGCGTTCCTGAAACATGCAGCATGTTATTTGCTTTGGTGTGAAGCGGTGCTATTCAGTCTAAATGGCACCCCACTGAAAGAGGTGCACTGCAGCACAACGCGCCGCAACGCACGACAGCAATCACTTTCTGAAAGACATGATTTATTCATCAAAATGATTATTTAATTAAATATTCATATTGCTACATGCATATCCAGCAAATGTGATGTGAATGGACTGAATGTTGCTTGGGTACTGTAATTTTTTATTTTTTTTTTTAAACTGCAATTGCTCCTTACGTCCTGGAATACGGCTGATAGATCATAAAAGATATCGGTATACTGCTTCAGCCTGTTAAGATTCACAGTGTGAACATGCTTGTGTTGCAGTATGGAGGTGGGGGTCTGCGTGGAGGCATTTTGCCATGATGTCACTGTGCCTAGAAGACACATAAACAGCGCTTTTATGACGTTTGTGGTTCTGGATGAAAAATAACCATCCTTGTATTCTACCTCACATCAAACCTGAACCTGGGGTAGGTAAACTACAGTATTTATTTCTTTATCTTACGTTTCACTATTATATCGCTTATGTAAAAGTAACAAATATCTGCCTCTTGTCATATTGTCCTAATAACTTTTTATGGATGCAGATGGATATTAATCACTTTGAGAGTAGGAGAGAAGTCCTAAAAAAACTTCCAACAAAGTTTTTTTTAGACATACACTCACCGGCCACTTTATTAGGTATACCTGTTCAATTGCTTGGAAACACAAATTGCTAATCAGTCAATCACATGGCAGCAACTTAATGTATTTTGCCATCTAGACGTGGTGAAGATGATTTGCTGAAGTTCAAGCCAAGCATCAGAATGGGGAAGAAAAAGGATTTAAGTGACTATGAACGTGGCATGGTTGTTGGTGCCAGATGGGCTGGTTTGAGTATTTCAAAAACTGCTGATCTACTGGGATTTACAACCATCTCTAGGGTTTACAGAGAATGGTCCGAAAAAAAAAAAAAACATCCAGTGAGCTGCAGTTGTGTGGATGAAAATGCCTTGTTGATGTCAGGAGAATAGGCAGACTGGTTCGAGATGATAGGCAACAGTAACTCGTGTCAACATGGACCTGAATCTCTGAGGAATGTTTCCAACACCGTGGTTGAATCTATGCCATGAAGAATTGGCAGTTCTGAAGGCAAAAGAAGGTCCAACCCGGTACTAGCAAGGTGTACCTAATAAAGTGGCTGGTGAGTGTACAGTACTTTACTCCTCTCACCCTGCCATGAATCCCCATTGCTCCCCTACTATTTCTGTCAATTATGTAAAAATGCAGCTGGTCCTGTGTAAAATAACACTTGCGCATAGTCTGCACGTTTGAGTAAATATAAAGTAACAAAATATTGTTTTTTGTATTTACTATTTCATTCCGTTTTTCTTAAATAAAATGTATTTCTTTTTAAACCCCTTATTAATCATTAGTAACCCCCTAATCAGCCTTTTTAACAAATTTCTCCCCATTTCCCCCTAGCATGCAGTAGCTTTTGTGCACTTTCAGAAAACGCACAAAAAACATGCAAACTAATAGAAAGTCTATGGGAAAATGCACATTAGCTGCACAAAACACATGGGTATACCCTGCTGCGGCCAAACCACAGAATAGCAGTGTGAAGCTGCTCTTGGCTTGTTCTTGATTGATTGATTTTTTTTTTTAACCATAATCCATTTGTTTTTAATTTTTATTTATTTTTTTTAGTGATGTATGAATAATGTGTAACATTGTAAAAAATAAAAAAAAGCCCTTTTTTCAATTTGCAAAAACTTTGCCATCAGGAACACAATTTTCAAGTGTCATTTTAAAAGGAAATTATTTTCAATAAAAACACAAACTGTATTTAAATCACTGGGGAGATTTTCCCTCACTTCCTGTTCTGGTGACATTCTGTGAAACAGGGATGGTTTGGGCCATTCTCTACAAGGGAGACACAGAAAGAAATAACAAACTGGAAAAGTGCTAATCCTTCCCTACGCTATTCAAAACTAAAAATATAAAGTATAGGCTGGAATTTTGGCTTTCACCTCCTTTTATAGTAAGAAATCCGCCTTATATAGAGATATGGGATCCATGCGAGGACCATTCTAAAGTTAATTGGTTCATGTTCTTTGTCCACTTCTAAAGTTTAGTTCTAAATGTTCATAACACGTTACTTCCTTTTTTACAGGATGGGGAAAGACGTTACCGGGAGGCATATGCACGCAGGAAGATTAGACTGGATCGGTAAGTAGAAAAAGCATTGCAGAAAAGAGTGTCCCAAAGACAGTCCTAGGAGACCATCGTACTGATAACGTCCTAAGGCTATAAAATTCAAGTGTATAACTATAACCACATTAGGAGCCCTGTAGCATTGGGGTTCAGGAACTTTTTGACAACATGATTGACGATTTGCTCTTTTAAAGTCCAATTAAGTCAGCTAAATAGATATATAATCCAATAATCTTTCAGTCTTGGTGAACCCAGTAGATTTAGTCCTCATGCACACTGGATGTTTTTACAGCGGCTGTTTTTGGCTTTTGACATTTTTTTTTCTACAGCCAGTAAACCCCCTAGCATGTTATCCTATGTGTCCATGCACACATAGACTGTAATCAACATTTTTTGGCTGGAAAAACCCCCCAGAACTAGTGGGTTTCTAGAGGGGTTTTTTTTAACTGTAAAAATGTTCTAACACTGAAAAACGCAGTAAAACATGGCAAACCAGTGTTTTTAGATGGTTTTTTGAACAAAAGAAAAAAGATTTTTGGTAAAAAAAAAAAAAAACTCTGCAAACTGCTAATACAAACATGCTAAAAACCACCGAAAAACTCACGTTTTAACGTGACTTTACACAGCTAACATTACCAGCGTTATTAAAAGGCCCAGTGTTCATGGAGCCTTAAACTCAAGGATAAGACGGCACATAGAAATCTCTTGCTCAGCTTTCTTTTACTATAAACCAAAACAAACTTTATGTATCTTTTTTTTTTTATCCTTAACCTTGCAGTCTCATAATTGCACAGCCTCCTTCATGTCCTCTATCCCCATAACAGGAGACATGTCTACAGCAACCTAGCGGGCATAGTGTGACATCACGTACAGTGGGTCCATGCTCATACCCGTTGCAACTGCAACACACCAAGGCTAAACATGGGGTGTCGTAGCCACAAAACTGACTACAGGAGATACAGGTACACCATATGGAGGCACAGCATGCCTGTATCTCCTGCCTGTGATCCCAAGGACACAAACTGACCACACTAGCATGGATCTGCTTCCATGCTTGGTGTGGTCAGTTTGATAGTGAAGCCAAGTGTAATTTGCAGGATCATTAGGTATATAGCAACAAAGGGTTCAACAGAACTTTTACAGGCTATATATTTCAAAAACCGTAGGTATAAAATACACTTTAAAGTGATTTTAAAGCCTGGACATTTTGTACTTTTCCCTTTTGTGCATTCCATGCATTAAGGTAAAAAAAAGTGCCAGTGTTTGTATCGCCCCCTCACCCCCCCCCCCTTTTTTTTTTTAAATTGAAGATTTTTGTAACAACTGTACCATTAAAAAAAGTGACAAGCCATACAACCGCCTTCAAATACACAATGCAAAAAAGTGCAAAAAGTACAAGTTGAATACAAAAAGTCACTCAATCCCCCTTTTATACTTGAGTCCTATCTTGATCCAGAGCTTTGCCTGTCTGCTCTCTACGCTTTCTCTGCTCACAGAGGCAGCAGCAGGAGCTATTGGCGCTTGCTGCTGTCAATCAAATCCTTTGAGTAGAGAGTGGAGCATGGGGCCGAGCCGCACTGCGTGCATCAGTAGAGGCACACAGCCCGACTTGGGCTCTAGCGCCCAGGTGAGGCCACTTGGAAAGCAACTTCCTATAGTGGCGCACTGAGAAAAGGAGATGCCTGGAGCTCTGGAGGGGGACCGCAGAAGAGGAAGCTTGAGGCCGCTGTGTGCAAAACCATTGCAGAGAGTAGGTAAGTAAAACACGTTGAATATTTTAATTCAAAAACTGTACCTTTACAAATGCTTTATTATGACTGTGCAGTTTGAAAGGTAGCATAGTTAAACCCAGTATATTCAGTAGTGTAATAACTGATCAGGAAAGCCTCCTCCTCTTCTCTGCCATTGAAGTCTATGAGGACACTTGTACTAAGGGTACTTATACTGCTCAGCTCTGCCAGGACAGGACAAAGGAACGGGAGGGAAGGGAGCAACATTTCCGTAGAAAATAAAAAAAATTAAGACTTTTAACAGTAAAATGTATTTATTTTTTTATTTATTTCAGGTACTCGTATAGCGCTGTCAATTTACGCAGTGCTTTTTACATATATATTCACATCAGTGCCTAACTCTCAAGGGGTGTACAATCTAAAGTCCCGAACTCACATTTATACATACACATACTAGGGCCAATTTAGACAGGAGCCAATTAACCTACCAGCATGTCTTTGGAGTGTGGGAGGAGACCGGAGTACCCAGAGGAAACCCACGCAGTCATAGTGAGAACATGCAAACTCCAGGCAGGTGGTGCTGTGGTTGGGATTCGAACCAGCAACCCTAGTACTGCCAGGTGGAAGTGCAAACCATTTAGCCACTGTGCTGCCCATCAGTTACAAATATAACATGTGGGGTACAGAAGTATCGACAGATAAAAAATTATGAGATTTCAGCTGGGGTTTAAGATGAAATTAATATGTGTGAAGGTCGAGCACTTTTATCAGATTGGTAAAGATTAAAGTGCAGCATTGAGCTAACCATTGAAAGACAGATATCTCCCTGAAAACTTGCAAACGACTCTTATGCCGATCCTTTGTAGTGCCAGGACTATTTCTTCTGCAGCTCTACTGGTAGACTGAATCAAGCAAGTGCAATTGACACTTTCATACCCTCCTTATTAGAAGAGAGATTTTCTAACAAGTCAGATCATGCATAAACGAGTTGGAAAATATCAGTCAGCAATAGAGAGTGCTCTCCTTATCTCGCCCTGAGGTCCAGTTATCTATTTTCGTACAGTATTTTTTTTTTTCTACCAACAGTAAATATGTTATATCCTGTAACCAATCAGAGGTGCCCCTGTCTGTTCCATGGGATCCAAGCAATCAGGTAGGTCCCATAGGCGATTGTAATTATTTATTTGTTGTAGAGTGGTGTTTCTTAGCCAGATTAGATTTGTACATTGCTTTGTAACATATTCCACCTACCCAAGTTCATGTCAATGTATCTCAGGCACCATTTCCTGTGTACCTGCATGTGTATATAGCCGGTATGCTGTTACTGTATGTGTGTGAGTTTCTTAAATGTGAAATGCCTTTGTTATTTGCAAGAAAGTTAGAGTTTAATTTTAACAATCAAAACTGTCAACACCTAGAATTGTTAAAGAAAATCTATGGTCACAGCATACACTTTCACTTTATAACATTTGCATTATAAAAAAAAGACAAACAATAGTTATTTTTGACAATCCGATATAAGTTTACTTATAAAATCTCCTTTAATATTGTGAGTGCTGCATGTCTGCTGGTTATCTCTTCCCACAACTTCCTGGATTCCCTGCATACTTTGCAGTTTCTCTTCTGCTCTTTACATTCAATTTCTAAGGACTACATATCCCATGGTACCTTGCTGCCTGCAAGCTGTGTTTTCTGTACTAACGTCACCTTCTGAAACTCCTCCTCTCAGCTCCTCTGTAGATCAGAAGGCAGGCTTTATGAAATGTGTGACACAGCAGTACCTACTCACAGGGCATAGTGACTACGGATCACAGAATTCAGAGACGTAAATGTGTGGGGGTCTTCAGAAAGTAAGTTTACAAACTCCAAGATCATTCAGATAAATAGCAGTAGGCTAGAAATAACCGAAGTACAAGTTGGAAATAATTACACTTTTTGCATTTTGACCATAGATACTTGACCAGTAAAACCTGTTAACACCGAGAATTATTAACATGTTTTCTTTAGCATTGTAGTATAATAAAAATAGAAGTCTTTTTGTATTTGTACACCATTCTGAGTTATATGAAAAAACTTACTTTTAGGTCTGATATGGTAATTGTAATTAATTACAATGCATCTAAGTCATTGACTTCCTAAATAGTCTCTGAAGGCCTTGTTTAACTAAATAGTAATCATTTGGTATCATTTGGCATCATTTTAATGACTTTTTTTTAAATCTCCAGGTTTACCTGAGTTACAACAATGTTTCCGCTCTGAAAATGTTGGTATCTAAAACTGACTGGGTCCTAGCTACAGAAATCAATAAGGTACTTGAGGTTACTGTTAGAGATGAGCGAATTATTAAAAAATTCGATTCGGCTGATTCGCCAAATTCGCGGAATAAATTCGATTTGAGGCGAATATATTCGCTGCAAATTTAACGTGTAAAAAGGGTGTTTCTAGGCTTCAGAGAGCCTTTATATTAGTGCAGAACACTGTACCTTTAATTTAAATGCCCTTGGAGTCTGCTGGGGAAGAGAATACTGTCAGTCAGTATGACATGCAGATGAGTGCTGTCGATCTTAGAATCACCGCACACTTCACTCATTTGGGCAGTCACGGGGCCAAAACCAGAGTGTGGAGCCACAGTGTGGCGGTGGAGGCAGCAGCAATGGGAGGCCATACAGCACCCTATGACAAAATGGAACCCACCAGCAGTGTGAGGAGACCTGAAAGTGGCACATGGCAGAGTGTGGCGATGGAGACAGCAGCAATGGGAGGCCGTACAGGGACCCATGACACACTCTGGACCTGGCAGCAGCATGAGGAGGCGGTACAGGGGCCCATGACAGATTACGGGCCTGGCAGCAGCATGAGGAGTCGGTACGGGGGCCCATGGCAGATTACGGGCCTGGCAGCAGCAATGGGAGGCCATACAGCACCCTATGACAAAATGGAACCCACCAGCAGTGTGAGGAGACCTGAAAGTGGCACATGGCAGAGTGTGGCGATGGAGACAGCAGCAATGGGAGGCCGTACAGGGACCCATGACACACTCTGGACCTGGCAGCAGCATGAGGAGGCGGTACAGGGGCCCATGACAGATTACGGGCCTGGCAGCAGCATGAGGAGTCGGTACGGGGGCCCATGGCAGATTACGGGCCTGGCAGCAGCAATGGGAGGCCATACAGCACCCTATGACAAAATGGAACCCACCAGCAGTGTGAGGAGACCTGAAAGTGGCACATGGCAGAGTGTGGCGATGGAGACAGCAGCAATGGGAGGCCGTACAGGGACCCATGACACACTCTGGACCTGGCAGCAGCATGAGGAGGCGGTACAGGGGCCCATGACAGATTACGGGCCTGGCAGCAGCATGAGGAGTCGGTACGGGGGCCCATGGCAGATTACGGGCCTGGCAGCAGCATGAGGAGGCGGTACAGGGGCCCATGGCAGAGTGGCGGAGCGTAAGCAGCTAAAATTGAAGGCCATACAGAGGCCTATGTTAAAAAGTCCCCCCAGCAGCAGCGTGGGCTAATAGTCGTCTCCCCACGCTGCTGCTGGGGGGACTTTTTAACATAGGCCTCTGTATGGCCTTCAATTTAAGCTGCTTACGCTTCGCCACTCTGCCATGGGCCCCTGTACCGCCTCCTCTTGCTGCTGCCAGGTCCAGAGTGTGTCATGGGTCCCTGTACGGCCTCCCATTGCTGCTGACTTCATCGCCAGACTCTGCCATGTGCCACTTTCAGGTCTCCTTACACTGTTGGTGGGTTCCATTTTGTGATAGGGTGCTGTATGGCCTTCCATTGCTGCTGCCTCCACCGCCACCCTGCGCCATGTGCCTCTGTCGTCTGCTCACGCTGCTGACGGCTTCCGCTTTTTAACCGAGGCCTGTGTTTGGCTTCCGAATACTGCTGCATCCACCGCCACCCTGCGCCATGTGCCTCTGTCGTCTGCTCACGCTGCTGACGGCTTCCGCTTTTTAACCTAGGCCTGTGTATGGCTTCAGAATAATGCTGCCTACACCGCCACCCTGCGCCATGTGCCTCTGTCGTCTGCTCACGCTGCTGCCAGGTCCATACTGATTCATGGCCCCCTGTACCGGCTCCTCATGAACGTGGTTCAGCGGGTTTGCATCACTTAACGGCAAATCGTTGACAAACGCTGGGACGTTCAGTGTTGTGCGCATTAAGCCAGACACCAAAGGGCAGCACAGACCTGTTATTACTCGCTCAAGCATGGCTGAACAAAACCAGTCTCTACCACAAATTGGACCCAGACCTGCCCAGGGTCTCGTAAGTAGATTGCACGGAGGAGTAGAGTTCGTTATTGGAATTAACTGTGAGGGACTTTTAAACCTAGGCCTGTGTATGGCCTTCAATTGAAGCTGCTTCTGCTCCGCCACTCTGCCATTGGACTCTTGATAGTCGTCGACTATCAAGAGTCCAATGGCAGAGTGGCGGAGCAGAAGCAGCTTCAATTGAAGGCCATACACAGGCCTAGGTTTAAAAGTCCCTCACAGTTAATTCCAATAACGAACTCTACTCCTCCGTGCAATCTACTTACGAGACCCTGGGCAGGTCTGGGTCCAATTTGTGGTAGAGACTGGTTTTGTTCAGCCATGCTTGAGCGAGTAATAACAGGTCTGTGCTGCCCTTTGGTGTCTGGCTTAATGCGCACAACACTGAACGTCCCAGCGTTTGTCAACGATTTGCCGTTAAGTGATGCAAACCCGCTGAACCACGTTCATGAGGAGCCGGTACAGGGGGCCATGAATCAGTATGGACCTGGCAGCAGCGTGAGCAGACGACAGAGGCACATGGCGCAGGGTGGCGGTGTAGGCAGCATTATTCTGAAGCCATACACAGGCCTAGGTTAAAAAGCGGAAGCCGTCAGCAGCGTGAGCAGACGACAGAGACACATGGCGCAGGGTGGCGGTGGATGCAGCAGTATTCGGAAGCCAAACACAGGCCTCGGTTAAAAAGCGGAAGCCGTCAGCAGCGTGAGCAGACGACAGAGGCACATGGCGCAGGTGGGTGGCGGTGGAGGCAGCAGCAATGGAAGGCCATACAGCACCCTATCACAAAATGGAACCCACCAACAGTGTAAGGAGACCTGAAAGTGGCACATGGCAGAGTCTGGCGATGAAGTCAGCAGCAATGGGAGGCCGTACAGGGACCCATGACACACTCTGGACCTGGCAGCAGCAAGAGGAGGCGGTACAGGGGCCCATGGCAGAGTGGCGAAGCGTAAGCAGCTTAAATTGAAGGCCATACAGAGGCCTATGTTAAAAATAATAACATGTTTGGGGCATGATTCATGGCGGATTTAGTCAGTTGTGTCAGGAACTGGTGGTTTGAAATCCAGACTAATCCACGCCTGATTCATTTTCACAAACGTGAGTCTCTCCACACTTTGGGTGGACAGTCGTGTCCTCCGCGGAGTTACAATACCTCCTGCCGCACTAAACACGCGCTCCGATGCCACGCTACTGGCCGGGCATGACAGCCTTTCAAGGGCAAATTCAGCTAGTTGGGGCCAAAGGTCAAGTTTCGTTGCCCAGTAGTCAAGGGGATTGTCTACCTCGGTTGGCAGGGTGCTGTCCAAGTAGGCCCGAGCCTGTTGTTTGAGGTCCTGCTCCAGGTCCACCTGATGCTGCTGCTGCTGCGGCTGGTTAGTAGTTTCCTCACTGCGCTGGTGAAGAAAGCTACTCATCATCGACTGCAGACTGAGGCAGCCGCTGCTGGTGGAGCTGCCACTGCTCCTACCACCCCACCCCTCCCCTGCTGCCATGGCAGCGGAACGCGAGCGCACAGGGCCCACAGTGTCTGAGGATGGACGTTGGCGCAGAAAGGCAGAGACCAACTGACTACATAGGTGGTTTTTATAGTACTTTATTTTGGCCTCCCTCTCAGCAGGTGTGAAAAAGGCCACCATTTTTGAACGGTAGCGAGGGTCCAACAAGGTGGACAGCCAAAAGTCATCCCTCTGTCTGATGGTTATTATTCGGCTGTCGCTACGCAAGCAACCGAGCATGCTATGGGCCATTTGTGCCAAGGAATGCGAGGGACTCCCTGCCTCCATCTCCACAGCATACTGCCACGGTGCGTCTGGGTCCTCTGTCCTCCTCCTCCTCCTCTACCAGATGCTCCTGCTCCTCCACTCCTGTCCGCTGAGTGGAAAAACCACCCATTTCACTCAATAATTCCTGAGCACCAATGTCCTCCTCTACCTCCTCCTCTTCTTCCTGTCCTGCCCCCACAGGGGTCATGTGGCGTTGAGATCTGTGCGCCACGTCTACCGCACCCTGACCAGCCATTGTTAACAGCATTTGTTCCAGGACGTGCAACAGAGGAATGACGTCGTTCATCCCATAGTCCTGCCGACTCACGAATAGCGTGGCCTCCTCAAAGGGCCTGAGCAAGCGGCAGGTGTCACGCATGAGCTGCCAATGGCTGACATCTAAGTTACACAGGGGAGTACCTTTATCCGCTTGTAACATCAGGAAATCGGTGATGGCCTTTCGCTGTTCGTAAAGGCGGTCTAACATATGTAGGGTTGAATTCCACCTTGTTGCAACGTCGCAGATCAGGCGATGCTGTGGAATTCCGTTCTGCCGCTGCAGCTCAAGGAGGGTGTGCTTTGCGGTGTAGGAATGGCTGAAATGCATGCAAAGTTTACGTGACATTTTAAGGATGTCTTGCAGTGGGATGGTGGATTTTAGGAACCGCTTGACAACCAGATTGAACACGTGAGCCATGCATGGCGCATGGCACAACCTTCCTTGACGCAGAGCAGACACCATGTTCTTTCCGTTGTCGGTCAACATGGTTCCGATTTTCAGTTTGCGCGGAGACAGCCATCTGTCGATTTCTCTGTTCATTACACTCAGAAGTTCCTCCCCTGTGTGACTACGTTCGCCAAGGCATACCAGGTGCAGCACAGCGTGACACCGTTGCGCCCTGCACATGTGATATGCCGGTCGGGTAATGGGACTTGGCACGGGGGTGGCGGCTGAGGACACGGCGGAAGAAGAGGTGGTAGAGGCGGACATCTTTGCTGGACCAAGGACGTGCAAACGTGGAGGCAAAAGCGGCGTGACCTGTCCAAGTTGCTGGTGCGGCTGTGCCGGCACCACGTTCACCCAGTGGGCCGTAAATGACATGTACTGTCCCTGACCGTAGTTACAGCTCCACACGTCGGCGCTGCCGTGCACTTTGGCAGAGACCGACATGCTCAAAGACTGGCCCACCATCTCTTCTACATGTGAATGCAGGGCTGGCACTGCCTTTTTGGCGAAGAAATGCCGGCTTGGCACTCTCCACCGCGGCTCGGCACAAGCCATCATTTCTCGGAAAGGTGCTGAGTCCACCACTTGGAAAGGGAGGGACTGCAGCACCAGCAACTTGGACAGGAGGACGTTCAGCTTCTGCACCGTCGGGTGCGTGCTCGCAAACTGTTGTCTCTTGGAAACGGATTCCAAGAAAGACTGCTGACGGAATCCGTGAAGAGGAGTAGCAGGAGAAGGAGCATCTGAACGAGCGGAAGATGCCAACGAGCGACAACTCCCCTCAGCAGAGGTGTTGGAGCCTTGACTGGCTGATAGAGGGCGATTGACGTCGGGTGACGGAGCAAGTAACGGAGCGGGTGATGGAGCGGGGGCTGGGGCAGGCAGAACCGCCGTATCTTTATCACGGTTTTCCCAGGCCACCGAATGGCGACGCTGCATATGCTGACGCAACGCTGTAGTCCCAACATGGGCCCCCTGGCCACGCTTGACTTTCTGGCCACATAGTCGACATACGGCTACGTTTACTTCCTCGGGCGGCTTGACGAAAAATTGCCACACCGCCGAGTAGGAAACTTTGCCCCCGCTACTCCTCACTGGCTGACTGCTACTTCCTCCGTGCACACCGGCACCACTACTGGCCGTGGTGGTAGGCTGCAGTGGAGCTGGTGCTCTACTCCGTGGCCGTTTGCCTCCACTGACACTGCTGCGACCCTGCTGCCTCCTGGGCAACCCACCGACTGTTTTGCTCGCTGGCAAGCTGGCACCCTCTTCTCCTGATGATGCGGAAGCAATAGCCTGATGACGACGAGGCTGCCAAGTGCGATCAGCCTCATCATCATCAATTAGGGTCTCCGCGTCACTACTAGCCCCCTCGGCTGCGTGTGGGTCAGGAGACAGACCTGTCTCTAGACCGGCTACCGAGCCACTCTCCTCGCCAGTACTTCTTCGCCTGGCTGCTGAAGAGGCGGATGTCTCCCCCCGTTCCTGACCGCCCTCTGTTAGCTCTTCCTCACTGTACAGTGGGGCTGAGCCCACAGCATGCGATACTTCGCTTGGTGAGGGAACACCAAAGGACAGGGGCAGGTAGAGGACACGTGATTTCAGTGGGCTTGCTCCCGGGCCATGCCAACTAACGGTTGTGTCTGACGTACCCACCGACCGTTGGCTGTAGGTGTCAGAGGTGACCTGGGAAGAGGAAGACGACCGAGTCAACCAATCGATGACGGCAGGGTTGTCGGTGGAGACACGACCGCCTGGATGACACCGGGAGCACTGGCCTCTGGCTGCGACTAGTGCTGCCTCGACCCCTTCCTCTGCTGCCACGTCTGCTCGCTCCTGAAACATTGCCTCCTCTGCCACTCCTCTGCGTGTTGTCTGACATACTCTTTAATTCAATAGTGGTTGTCAATACGATTCTGTGTGGTTGTGAAGCAGAAAGTAACGATTCTGTGTCCCCGAGTAACGATTCTGTGTCCCGAGTAACGATTCTGTGTCCCCCGCTCCGTCGCCACACATGTCGCCGCCATTTTTGGGAAAAATTCGATTCGTGCATCCGAAGTTTGCTAATTTTCGGATTCGGCGCGAATCGAATTTTTCCTGATCTTCGAAACTAATTCCACTTCGCCATGTTCGATTCGCTCATCTCTAGTTACTGTGTCTTTATTTAGGTACCATGCATACTAGCAGGTTTTTTTTTTTTTCTAAAAAAATGCTGGTAATAGCATTTCTTTAGTAGCATTTGGAAGCGTTCAGGAGCATTTAGGCTCCATGCACACGGGGCGTTTTAATAACGCTGGTAACAATAGCTGTGTAAATTCGCGTTAAAACTTGAGTTTTATAGTGTTTTTGCATTAGTGTTTAGCCGTGTTTTTTTCCAGTCTTTTAACCAAAAAAAGTACAAAAACACCATTTTGCTACATTTTTCAGCGTTAAAGCGTTTTTAAAGCTAAAAAACTCTTCTAGAAACCACTAGTTCTGGGTTTTTTCCAGCCAATAAACGCCCCTGCCAAAAAACACTGATTAGTCTATGTTTGCATGGACACATAGGATAACATGCTGGGGGGTTTACTGGCTGTATATAAAAAAATGTCAAAAGCCAAAAACAGCCTCTGTAAAAACGTCCAGTGTGCATGAGGACTTAGTGTTTTTTTTTCTGCCAGAAAAATGCTCTCAAAAACTCAACAAACATTTTTTCTTTTTCTGCTGAAGTTTGAAAAACTCTACTAGCCTAAAACAGTGCGCATAGACACATAGGGTAACACAAATTAGCTTCTTGGAGCAGAAAAAAAATGCTTATAATAGATTCTAGGAGCTTAAAAAAACTCTAGTGTGCATGAAGCCTTATTCTTTTCTATTAGCAATACCAGTTACTAGTCCTTTGCACTCTGCTTGATTTTTTTGAGGGCAAAGCTTCCAAAATTCAGTTCCTTCTTAAGAATGGGAATGTCAAAAATTGTTCAAAAGAACAAATAAAGAAGCGCTCCGAACCCTGTGGAAGTCAATAATCACAAGCCCAGGAACAGTTACAATAGACATTCACTTTAGTGTTGGGATAAAAAGCATCACATGTAGGAGTGTCCAGATTGATACATCACCAAGCCAGTGGAGAGGAGAAACACATTCTCCCAGATGCTGGAGGATGAGACATGATCCTGGACCCAACAGTAGGTTGCTCAGCCCAGGAGCCTCAGGACAGTGGGAAGGGAGTGTGGATGACAGCCACTGGGAACACTAAGATGGCGCATCCACTGGACGTCACGTCTCCCAGATCCAGTTGCTGTGTCATACACCTGGTGAGAGACCGCCTGAACAAGGGGCTGGTGAAGGCAAACTGGACGCCTAGGGGAACACTCAAACCATGTCAAGCCAAAGGAGAGAAGCTGGTCATCACGATAACATGTTTCAGGGACTTGCCCCCCTTCCTCAGATCATGTGACTCTGTTGACTTCCACAAGGCTGGGAGCACTCCTTTATTTGTTGTTTTGTGCTCATGTCTCATTGCTGGTCATCTGAGTAGCTGGAGCTGCCCATACTGTGGTTATCTACATATCCCCTGGAACCTCGTTGCGCTTGGTATTTGCACCTTTTCAAAAATTGTTCAGAAACTAAAATGTAAACTGCAATTGCTAAATTGTCTTCAAAGGTGCAAGATCCAGGGCTGTTCATCTTCATTTCACCATGCAGAGGGGTTGATTTACTAAAGGTGAATATACTGTGGACTGCAAGTGCTGTTGCTGCAGAACTTTGTAAATGAGGTAAAGCTTCTATTTGCAAAGAATACCCAATCACATGCAAGGAAAATAAAATGCATTTTTGCCTGCGCATGATTGGATGATAGAAATCAGCAGAGATTCCCCTCATTTCAGAGCTTCCCCTCAGATCTAGTGCAAGTGTACTTGCAGTGCGCAGAATATTTGCCTTTAGTAAATCAACCCCAGTGTGTCACTGACCTATGACAAGTGTGCAGGTCAAGCATTGGCGTCACTGGCTGCATATGTGTTCCAAATAGTGAAGTAAGGATGAATAGGAAAGCCCTAGAGATAAGTTAGTAAAGGCAGCTCCCATATTTTTTTCTTACCAGGTTTTCTGTAATTCTATCCATCTTCACATTATTCTGTAGATAAGCAGCTCAGAAAATGTTCTTGTACTTTTATTGGAGGTAAACATTTCTAAGTTCTTGTAATCACATCCATCAGCTATAAAAATAAATCCTACTCATTGTGACACTTTGTGTTGACATTTTGTTATCTGACACGCTTGTCATGAACAGTCTAACAACATGAACACTTCAGGGATTCAAATGCAGATCTCCAACATTTACTTCAGAACATTAAAGTGCATAAGCCAAAATAATTTTTCAATTTGGATGGAGTAGGAAATGACAAAACTTCAATAATTTTTTGTGCCATCTGTATCCTATTGGAAGATGTCCCTTTACTTCCAGCTCTGTAGATACAACAGGAAGTGAGAGGAAATCTCTCCAAAGTGTAGGAACTTCCTTTATAGTTGTCTTCAGTTGTCCCCAATGGAGGATTCCCCATCTATTCCTATTCCTGTTCTTGTTGACAAGTCAGGCTTTTTGGATTTGTACCACTTTCTAAAATGGTCACCAGCACAAATAGAGAGGGTGAATATCCTTTACAGAGTCCAAATTTTGGGTTTCCCCCAGAAAAGTGACAGAAGGGAAATCTTCCTATGGGGACACTAGTTCTGGTGACCTGGGAGTCCTCAAGGAATTCCCTTAATTTGCAGGGATTTCCTCTCACTTCCTGTTTGGCTATGGGACTGGAAGTGAAGGGAAATCTCTGCAAAAGGGTACACATGGCGAAAAATAAAAATATGACAGGGGTTATAACCCTCCTTTAGTCTATCCAAAATGAAAAAAAAGTTTTGCCTATATTTTTACTTTAACTTTAATCATACTGTGAAATGTTTGTGCGATTGAACACAAGAAATAACAATATGTGTGCTTGTTTTTTTTTATCAGGTTCAGCTGTACACCCTGGAAGATAACACATTTCTGTCCTTCAAATTGGATATTAGGGTGACTGTCAAGGCCAAACAAACCTTCAACCTGCTTTCTGACCTAAGACGCAGGAAAGAGTGGGACCCCTACTATAAGTGAGCATGGGGAGATAGGATAGGCGGTGTCTGCTGGTTTCCTGTATGATAACTATCATGTATTCTCTACAGAGAGTGCCAGCTGCTGCAACAAGTGAATGAGGACGATGCTATTTATCATGTAATCAGTACGGTGCGCAGTGCAGAAGGGAAGCTGCAAGACTATGTCATCCTGGCTTCACGGCGGCCACCCTGTGACACTGGGTGAGGAACCAGAGCACCTATCTAAATGTAAAGTGACCCCTATCTTTGTGTGTAACAGGCTGGGGTTTTTTATGTGTGAGGGAGAGAGGGACACAAGCTGACCTTATGGCCAAACGTTTGTTGTCACCTGCCCATCACACTTATTTCAACTTATTGTACACCCCATTCCAAAACCATGGGCATTAATATGGAGTTCCCCCAATTCTTTATCTCTATAATGGCCTCCACTTCTCTGGGGAGGCCCACTCAGCCAAAAGAGCATTTGCAGGGTCAGATACTGATGCTGGATGAGAAGACCTGGCTTGTAATTATCATATTATTATTATACAGGATTTTTATAGCGCCAACAGTTTGCACAGCGCTTTACAAAATGAAAGTAGACATTACAGTTACAATACAATTTGGTACAAGAGGAAACAGAGGGCCCGACTCATTAGAGCTTACAATCTACTAGGAAGGGTTGAGTGATACAAAAGGTAATAGTTGTGGGGGGGATGAGCTGATGGAGGAAATAAATGGCAGTTTACTAGGTAGGAGCAGGATAGACTTCTTTAAAAGAGAGGTTTTCAGGGATCGTTTAAAGGTGGATAGATTAGGAGACAGCTGGAGAGGTTGGGGTAGAGAATTCCATAGAATGGGAGAAGCTTGGGAGAAGTCCTGGAGGCGAGCATGGGAGGAGGTAACACGGGAACTAGAGAGCAGAAGGTCTTGGGGGGATCGAAGAGAGCGGTTTGGTTGGTATTTTGAGACCAGGTTGGTGATGTAGCTGGGGGCAGAGTTGTGGATGGCTTTGTAAGTTGTTAGTATTTTGAATTTTTTTATTCGTTGAGCGAGCGGAAGCCAGTGGAGGGATTGGCAGAGAGGGGTAGCAGACACTGAATGGTTGGTAAGATGGATGAGCCTGGCAGCAGTATTCATGATGGACTGGAGGGGAGAATAGCCTATGTAAAGGTTAGCCAATGAGAAGGGAGTTGCAGTAATCGAGTCGGGAGATAACCAGGGAGTGAATTAGGAGCTTTGTGGTATCATTGGTTAAGAAGGGGCATATTCTGAAGATGTTGCGGAGGTTGATAATAATGCACCCCAGTGGTTTTTGGTAGAGTTGAGGTCAGGGCTGTTTGTAGGCCACTCAAGTTCCCTCACAGGAACTCAAAGTTCCTTCACAGTAAACTCCCCAAACAGCTTTATGGAGCTGGCTTTGAGCACAGGGGCTCAATCAGCTAGAATAGAAAATGGCCTTCCCCAAACTATTGCTACTAAATTGGAAGTGCACCATTGTCTAGTGCAGGGGTGGGCAAACTTTTTGACTTGAGGACCGCAATGGGTTCATATATTGGACCCGGGGGCCGGACCAAGAGTAGATGAATGATGTGTATGTGTCATCCATAGTAAGTATAGTAATATTCCCCCATAGTAAGCATAATAATTAATCCCCCATATAGTAATTAATCCCCCATATAGTAATTAATCCCCCATATAGTAATTAATCCCCCATAGTAATTCATCCCCCCATATAGTAATTCATCCCCCATATAGTAATTTTATCCCCCATATAGTAATTTATCCCCCATATAGTAATTCATCCCCCCTATAGTAATTCATTCCCCATATTAATTCATCCCTCATATAGTATTTCATTTCCCACAGTACTATTCCCCAACAAGTAGTAAGCCAAGTCCCCGCTGTGTCAATTCACTTACCTTTGCTCCGCGCGTTCCTCTCGCCGTGTTCCTGCGCCGTTCCGGTCTTCAGGGCGGACTGTGAGAGGAGCCTAGCTCCCCTCACGTTCCTCACGCTGCCCCTCCTACACACATCCTGAGAGCTGATGTTTGCCACGCTCCACGGGCCGGATTAAAAGGCCCGCCGGGCCGTATACGGCCCGCGGGCCGTAGTTTGCCCATTGCTGGTCTAGTGTCTTTGTATGTTGTAGCATGAACAGTATCCTTCACTGTGCGAAGATAACTGGATTGATGTATAAGAAATCAGAGAGATAGAAATCATGATTTTTTTTTTCTATACAGATTTTATTTCTCTCTGGTGTTCTAATACAACAATTTTGTACAACTATTATAAACAAGATACTTTCTTTACAGGGACCCATATGTTGTGGCCTTTCGATCTGTTTCTCTCCCTACACATCCCCCCATTGATGAATACTCCCGGGGTGAGACTCTTTGCTCTGGATTTTGTATATGGTCAGAAGGAGACAAGACAAAGGTATGTCCCTCAGGATATCACACATTGTCTTAGAGAAAGCTGGCATTTTCATGTATGGTGCCATGCTGTAAGACAGTAATGGGCAGGTTTTCAGAGGTTGTGGCTGTACCAGCTCCTGCAGAGGAAGGAGTGCACAGCCAACCTTCATGGAACTGTCCTTCATGCACCAAATATTTACTGTGATGCAACTACAAATAGATGAGATGATATCATATTTATATGTGGTTGCTTTGTTGGTTGGTCTTAAAGGATAAGTTCTGCTTTCATAAGATGTTACACCCATATTCAGGATGTAACATGTTATGAAAGCACCAGTCCCCACTCCTCTGCTTTGACATCTAGAGGGGGATCTTCTCCCCCTCCCCACCCGCTAGCTGTCAAATTTACAAAAAATGTGGCCTTGCGGGTTTCCCCCCACCCGGCTGCGTCACTCATTCATTCTGTGAATGAGGAACTACAAGTCCGACGGCCTTAGTGGCTGTTGGCCTGTAGTTCTCAATGAACTACCACGGCATTATGGAGTGCCATGGTAGTTCATTGAATCTTCCTATCCGTATATCTGCTTGCCCATACATCCCGTATAGGCAAGCAGATATACTGACAGCTCTGCAGGAGACCTGCATGGCAACAGCGATCTACTGATTTGCTGGTGCAATGCTTTACAGGATCCTGCAGCACAAAATAATAAGTGCACATTTTTTTACCTGCAAACAAATCTGCATTTAATATTTTTTTTTACCAAAAGGTGAACTTATTTAGGGTTAGTGGATTGAGAAGGGCAAAATACTTTACTAAGCATTGTTAAATGCCTTAAGCCAGACATACACGGGTTGAATTCCGAAAAAAATTTCTTTCAAAAATCTTTTCTAAGAATTTTCGTTCGAATTTCGCACTATTAGTGGGTTACAGAAACGGACAATTTTTGTGTCACCATCAAATTTGAGTGATCAGGCATGTTGGAAATTTTCTGAAAAACTAATTAATTTCAAATCAATGATGGGAGAATCATGCGGGAAACATAAACGAAAAAGAAATGAGCATGGGCTGTGACCTGGAAAGAAAAGAAAATTCTTTGCAGGAAAATTCTTTTCTGTAGCCACATGAGGTGAAATTAAAGGCTTGGTTGGGTGAATTTTGAAATCAATGATAGCACCATAGGATTAGAAAACACACTAAATTTCCGATTTTCTAAAGAAAATTTGTTTGGAATTTGACCCATGTATGGCCAGCTTTAGCAGTTATTAGGAATGTGTCTGATGCATGTGAGGAGTGTTTCTGCTAGAAGGGGAAGGGAATAGGAGGATTGTTAGCCAGTTCTGGTGACAACCCAAAAATTGGTATTTTCTTGCTTTTTCACTTTCTGTGATAAATAGGATGAATAGAGAAGATGAATTTCCCTAATGGGGTCACTAATGTCAGTAAACATCTGGCCGGTATTAAAATCCCCTCCATCCTATCCAAAACAAAAAAACATTTTCCATTTAATTATAATCTAAATGCAGGTCAGCCAATTTTTTTTTAATTTTTTTTTGCTTTATATAGAGTGGAGAAGAATTGGATTTCCTTGTTGATGGTTAATGCTATCCAGTGCTCTATTAGAGAGGCTGACAATGGTTTCAGCAGAAAGAAAGTGAGTGAAAATCTGGGGACATAGACAGCAATAAAAATCTGATAGGGGTTCTAGCCACCCCCTACTTTGCTAAAGAGTCAGTGTCCATGTTACTGCTTGAGTGTTCCCCTCACTTGTTGCCGAGTTCAGCATTGTCAACAGGACAGGAAGTGAAGGGAAATCTCTTTTACAGAGTCCCGGATGGCATTACGAACCTGACAGAGGTTCTAATTCTTCCTCAACTGAAATAGAAGCAATGGAAGAAGGTGCACCGACCTAGTATGATACTGTAAGGGACCACCTGACAGCACCTCTAGCAACCCACTGGCCGGGCTTCCCCAGAGCGCGGAGTCTAAGTTCCGGAGCACTTGTTCACCAGAGCCCCTGATGGTGGGGATGGACTTGGAGCGCTCCGAGACCAGGTCGCGACTACTGGATATACCCACCAGTGGTAGAGGAGTCCGCCAGGGGCTCCCGCAGGGTGAGAGTCTGTTGTGAGGGGACCAGGGGGTCCTAGAGGGATGGATTGGTGGAGGAGCAAAAGCTAAGTCAAACAAGCCGAGTCGGTAGCCGGGGGGTCGGTGTGGTACAAAACAGTAGGCAAAGAATGGTCGGGTCACACGCCAGGTCAATAACAGGAGATCAGATCTAAAGGGGAACATCCAGGAGTGAAGTCAGGCAAGCCAGGGGGTCAGGATAGGAGAAGGCAGCAAGGTCAGACAATCCGGATCAATAGTACTCACAACACAGGTATCAGATAACAGGAATCGCAGAAAGACCATTCGGCAACAAGTGTCTGTGCAGGGCTGGTTTAAGTAGCCCGCCCTGCACCTGACAGGCACAGCCTAGGTCCTAGTGCCTGCCCAGCACTGTCATAGACGACGGGTGCGCCTGGGTCCTAGTGCCCTGCTGTGCCTGCTTGACAGACACCTACGCATGTGCAGACCCATGCGTCGCGATGGTCCCTGAAAGATACCCTAACCACTCTTTATAATAAAAAAAAACCCAATGCCAATGTATATACAAAAGTACACAATCAAGGTCATGTAACCTATCCAGTCCCAACACAGGAAACGTATCTTTCTAATGGGGCACAGCTTACATGTTTCAAGGGCAAAGCCCTCTTCTTCAGAGCCGTAAGCTGTGCCCCCTTGGATGTAAATATTTTCTGTGGTTTTTTTTTAAATGTTAAAGAGTTGTTAAAGTATCACACTAGGCCAGTGCGCCTTCTTCCTTTGCTTCTATTTCAGTATTGGTTTCCTCTAACTGAAGGTTGTCAAGACTGTGCTGCGTGGAGGTTTCCAGTGCTGGTTACCATATTTGTATAGAGAGGAAGAGTCCACTGTGCGCCCACTCTGCAGCTTTGAGCGCCTTTCCCATCTGTAGCACTGACAAGAGTGTTCGTGATTTGATCCTTCCCCACTCTATCCAAAACTAAGAAAAAAGCTTTGGCTGGACATACCCTTAAAAAGTGTATATATGAGATCCAATATCAGAACCAGAGCAAATGAACGTTTGAAAAGGTTCATCACTGGTATCAATGAGAATAGAATTGGGTTATCAGTCACATATTTTAGTATCTCCCATATCTGCTATCGAAGAATTGTATGATAGATTGACCATGGTAACTAATACAGTTTATGTAATTCACTCAACAGGTGTCTTACTATAACCAGTTTACACCCGGCCTCGTCTCACAAGTAACAACCAACATTGCTGGACTGTCCTCTGATTTCGCCAGCACATACCAAGCCTGCGAGAGGTTTCTGGTTGAGAACACTAAGGACTCTGAAAGAGATGTCAACACACCCGAGCCATAGGAACCAGATTTTATATTGCTGTACCTGTACAAAAAAAAAAAAATATAATATATATATATATATATATATATATATTCTTTATAAAGTACTGACAACATTTACCTCTTTACCTTGATGGAATATGGGAAAGGTAGCTAGGTTGTTGATAGACAACATAAATGTGTCACCCTTACTGCTGGAGCACATGGTTGGTGTGAATGTACAGTATGCAAAACTTGATGTAAGGACTAAATAAATACCTGTAGTAGTAATATTAATAATATAGTAGTTTAATAAATAAAATATATATACTGGAAATCCAGTTACTAAAATCTCATAAGATTTATCCTGTTAAAGGATAATTTCACCTATTGCACAAAAATAATAAATGCACATTTTTTTGCAGGTAAAAAAAAATTTATATTTGTTATTTTTGTCTTCAGGTGCCTGTAAAGCATTGCACCAGGAATCAGCAGATCGCTGGTGCAATGCAGGTCTCCTGAAGATCTGTTAGTATATCTGCTTGCCATACGGGATGTACAGGCAAGCAGATATACTGACGGGAAGATTCAATGAACTACCATGATGCTCCACAGTGCTGTGGTAGTTCATTGAAATATACAAGGACTTGCAGTTCATTCATTCACAGAAAACTGTGAATGATTGATATGGCCATGCTGTTTTCAAATCCAATAGCTAGTACAGGGAACTTCTCCCCGTATTTCTGTCAGAGAGAGAGGGGGGCAGCAGCTGTAACATTGGGAGCATGTTACATGTTCCATCCACTTTTAGGTGAACTTATCCTTTAAATACTTTCTAAAGTAATTTCCAATATTTTAAATTTGCATCTTTCATTAAAATAATTCCTAGTAATCCTGCCATGAAAGTCGGTGTTCAGACGCTTCCTTTTACAGGATGATGGCGCTATGTTCAAGTCTCCTAAGGAGACTATAGGTAGCCATACTAATGTACATTGCACAGGCATTGTCCACCCTCTTGAGAAATGACATACAGCCAACTCTGGAGCCAATCTGTGCAGAAAGGAAGAACCTGCAGGAGAAACAGTAGCATGGAGATACATCAAAGGATAAAAAAAAAGTGAAAACATGGCAATTGTATGTGACACTCAGTGCTTTGCATTCTAAATACCATTCAGTCAGGGATTACATCTACTTAATTCATAAAGAATAGCTATTAATTACTACACAGATGGCATGAATGGCTGCCAGTAAGTAACACTCCGTAGCTTAATTAGTTATGATCACTTTTTACATTTTTGTGATTATTCACTACTACGTACTAATTTTGTAGCTCAAATAATAGGGAGCCATTTGTTCCTGGTGTAGGGATTGATCACTACTTTTAGCAGCAGTTCACCAGCGCCTGTGTGCTCCTGCATTATTTAATAATAAACTAAGGCAGGCCATAGACGAGTTGAAAACTGAATATTCCGTCGAATGAAAAAGGAAAAAGGCTCGTAAGATTGTGCCATCATTTGTTTTTGTTTTTCTAAACAAAATCCAGCATGATGGATTGGGCACTTTTGATTGCAACACAAAAAGCATGTGTCGCAGCTAGTAATGATGTTGGATAAAAACGACTAAGTATTTTCGATGGTATTCGACTCGTCTATAGCCTGCTTAAGACTTAGGTCTTCAATCTTAAAGCGGCATTTCACTCACTCTGTAAACAAACTGTAGCTGCTGACTTTTAAAAAACAGCCACTCACCTGTCCCACGATCCCACGGTACCCCCCGCCGCAGCCCGTTTCACCAGCCATCCTGTATTCCAGGCGCCGGCATCTTCAGTGTGGGCACCCAGCTGTGATGGCTTGCAGCTTTACAGCCGGGTGCCCACTGCGCATGCGTGAATAGCGCTGCGCTTCCTGAATGGCCCCGTTGTCTTCTGGGACCTGTCATGTGTCCCGCAAGACTACGGAGAGGGAGGGTAGGAAAACTTCTACTTCTGATTGCCTTGGTGATCGCAGCGGAAGTGGGAGCGGGTACCTGTCAATTTCGGGTACCTGCCCCCCCCCCCCCCGCTCCCCAAAGGTGCCAATCCTTAATGGGGAGCAGGGGACCAATCATTAAAGTGGAACTTCCCCTTTTGGGTGGAACTCCGCTTTAACACTCTATCTTTTGCACAGACAGCAATTTCTCATGGTAGAAGCGGAAGGGCTTTGACGTTAGTGTATTTTTGCATGAAATATAGATATTGTCAGTGTGTACAGTGTAAATTTGTTTAATACAGAAACATATTAAACCCATTCTGTAACAAAAGTCTTGCTTCTGTATTATGCATTTGTTTCAGACTCACTGCATGTAAAACACTCAAAACCAAATGTAGCAAGATTTTGCAGCTATTAAGGAATACAATATATTTTAATAAAAGTTTTTCTGTCTAGAGTTTAGCTGTAAAGGATGTAAATCCCCTCTGTGTGTACAAAAGGCCTTTGCAAACCCAATTATTATGTTGTAGATGTATTGATGACATCATCACTGTGCTGTACATAGCTTGTGCCGACAGCTGATCTGTGGGAGGGACCCAGCAAACTCCACCCACTACGCTGCCAGCAGAAAACTGCATGAAGGGGTGGAGACAAGACCAGTCACTCTGCACAAGGACAGAGAACATCAGTGACCAGTCTTTATTATGGGAAGCTTCGGCACTGGATCACTGCTCAGATCTGAAAGGATTACACAAAGCATACCATGATTCAAGTAAAATTATACTTGCACCCTGCATTCAGATAATATTTCCTTATCCCAGAGTTCAGTTTCAAAATAGTTGATCCTAAGTCTTGGTAACAGAGGCAAATAATATTTTTACAGGTTAATGTTATTTTAACCCCTTCCCACCAACTGTTCACATATATGTGGACTTTCAGAAATGGATCTTTATCTGTGGGGCTGCTTATAGCCATACCATACTTCACAGCACTCTCCCAGCACAGGGACCGGGATCTCACTGACACTGGGACTGGGTTCACACTTGTGCAGTATAGGACACCACATGTGGTTTGCACAGGAATCGCATCATATTCCTGTGCACATCCCATTCATTGTCTGTGTGGTGCAATTTGAGCCATACATTTTGTATGGCTCAAATCGCATTGCAGCAGCACCAAAATGGTGCAGGACCCTTTTTTTTCCTCACCTAAATTTCATGGGTGTTCACACCCATGAGATCAGATTCTGGCTATTGCACTGTGTTTTGCAATCTGTTTCGGGGTGTTACCATTGACACCCGCAGCAAATTCCATGGATGCCATGCGATTGCAATGCGGTGCGGGAATCCTACAGCATTCACTGCATTTCCCGCATCACATCAGTGTGAACCAGGACTGAGTCTCATACGATGAGGAATGGAGAAGAGAAAAATTTATTTAAAAAAGTAGCTAGGTCAAGGTTATGGTCAAAAATCATGGTCAGGGTAAAATGTTAGGGTCGTTGTATTTTAGATAAGAAAAAAAAAGCATTTTTTTTTGTATCATTGTCTGTCATTGTCAGTGTGTTTTAGGTAGGATGAAAAAAAGAACAGAATGCGCACCATTGTTTGTGTCCTACTACTACGGGTACGAACTACAAATAACATACATATAGTATTTGGTATCGCTGCAATCGTCAGGGGCAGGATAATTTATTTTGAGTTGTTTCTTGAAGGTAGGTTATGGTAATAGCAAGAAATATACAGTACATTTAAATATATATATTAAAAAAAATTAAAAAAAATATATATATCATTTATTTTGTGACAGTTTTCTTTTGAGAATAATAAAAACAGGAGATATCCATTACCATTTACCACCAAATGAAAGCCCAATTTCTCCTGTTAAAAAAAAAAAAAAAGTATAATTCCCCTGGATACACTAAGTAGTTTCGAGGATCTGCACAGTTTTACTAACACCTGTCAAAGTTGCAAAATTGTGTTCAGGCATTAGGATTTGTTTTACCCTCTTTTATGAAGGGGGCTAATGCCTCCGTCACATACAAGTCTCCAAATTTGAATTTCAGGCAGTGTGTATGGCCACTGTTCCTAAAGGCTGAACCAGGAAAAAAAAGTCTGCTGTGCAATGCCCTGATCCTGGGAGCTAAGTTGTGGGTCAGTATTTAGCACAGCGGTTCTGCGAGTTTTTCCACTAAGCTCTCTGTGCATGTGCACATACAAGACTGGGGCCTCATCTGTTACACAAATTACCGTAAAATTCATAGGGATAGGTGGCTTTAAATGTCAATGTTACATTCTACATTCCAAGTAAAAAAAAAAACAAAAAAGGGTTGTGATATGTAAACCCCTGTTTCTGTGTGTTAGCAACCCTATTACTATAATTGGGTTCAGTTTATGCCATTAATGCAGCTGGGTCCTAAGCTGGCTATACACCAGCAGAATTTCCCAAAAATCATTAATCGGGGCATATGATCTTGCTATCATTGAGCAAACTCATTTCATTTGAAAGCCCTTCAAATTTCATCAATACCTGCTACTTAAATGGATTCCCAGATATATTAAACATGTTTCTTTTGTGCCTAGCACATGTGCAATACAATATGCACAATTTTCCCCAAAGTAGCTATAATATTAATTTTAAATCGCCTTGCCCGACAAAGGATTTGCCATCCTGTTTAGCTAGCCTTATGATTTGCATACCTGTAAAGCCAGGATGGATATTCAGCTCTTCACTGGATGGCCACCTTATTGACCATCAAATTAGTGATAGTTGCCTACCTGGACATGTAGAATGGAGGAGGTATGTAAATCACAATGCCGTAGGAAGCTGCAAAGCTGAAATAATGTTCCACTTGGACTTGTAGCATACAGTAAATAAAGGAAGTGAAGTGCCACACCACTGCTTAATAGTCCAGATACAGTTTTATTCCACTAAAGGTCAGACAAAAAATCAAAAGGTAAGCAAATGCGTTTCGTGGGTCCCTTCATCGGGGCTAAAAAGATCGTTCTGAACACTCTAAATGTCCTGGAAACCCTTTTGATTGTTCATCTGACTTTTACTGTTATAAACTGTATCTGGACTAATGAGCAGCCGTGTGGTGCTTCAATTCCTATTTATAATTGTAATACAGTTTTTCGGTGGGCATAAGACACCCCATCGGCACCAACTTAGAAGCGAGCATACTTGACTTACACAGTTGTGTACATTATACTTCTCAGTCATTCACACTTCACTCTAACTGTACTCTGACTTCTCCCAATGGATGCAGCATTTCTGAGGGGGCACCGCGGAGCCTGTACCACACTCCATCTGCACAGCCGACATGTCATCTCACTCCTAGTGACATTATGAGACTTTTCACTGACACACAGATATCATCTCTTCACGTGTTCCTGAGCTTCTCCACTGCAAAGTGCCTTCGCTCTCTCCATGTCTGTTCCGTGACCTTCCAGCCTTGGTACATTAGATACCCTGTGCTGCAATATTGGTTCCTGTATGTGGGGCACCAGTTGCTAGGGAGGGGGATTAAGCTTTCAAAACACCCTCATTACCAGGACCCTTCATCACCCATGCCAAGTCACCACCACTTCCTGCTGGGTAGCTGCTTTAGCACCTACCATCACTCTGGTTACCCTTAGCAATATAGCCATTTCTCCTCCAGCTCCACTACAGGTAATACCATTGTAATGTCTCTTTAGCAACTTCTCTTCATCCCCATTAGAAGACCTGTTCGTGTATCCACCCCTTTCTAAGGAACTTCAGACCAGGCACTTTCTTGTATCTTTAGAACTTGTACTTGAAACTTGTGCAGATACAAAGCAATTTAAAACAGTATCTCACAAATCTCCTCCATACATGTTCATCCTAACTTCAGGTTCACTTAGTTCATACCTTCAAATAGAGCAAAGTCCTTTATGTAAAGTCCATGAATCCATCTTCGGTACCCTATAAAGGTAAGCCCCCAAACGTTAGAGCAGAGTTACATGTTGCCGCAGTCCTCCTTGCAATTCCCCATTCAAAGACTCCTCTAGGTTGTCTCCTGCACAACATGGCAGAGCCATGAACACCCAGGAGGCGGCACATTAACCCCTTCCTGCTTCAGGGTAGCCTAATAAACAAAAACACACCAACCATATTTACCTAGTAAAACCGTGCAGAAATACATGAGGTACACAGGGCAGTCTTAATATCATCATGGGCCCCTGAGCAAAGTAATACAATGGGGCCCCTACCAGCCTGCCCCAATTTACGCACCTTATCTCCAGAATTAAACTATAAATAGTTGATTGAATCAAAAACATATATTTATTTGTACTTTAAATAGAATTGATTTTAAACAATAAGAAAACTTGCCACAGAACAAGGACTAAGCAACACAAAGAACACAGTACTGGAGGAGGCATAAGGGCATAGTACAGGGGGAGTCAGAAGGGCACAATACAGGTTCTGGGGGCTGCCCGGCCCATCCCCGAGACAGCTTTGTAAAAAGTGTGACAGTCTCAGCAAATCCAGGACAGCTGGCAAGTATAATGTGATGCAAAATTATCATGGGTCCCCTGGGCAGTGCCCAGGGGTGCCCATGCATTATGACTGCCCTGGAGGTAGAACCTGGTGAAGTATGTAACCCTCAAGAAGGCACTTGCCTACACATTACAAACAAAGGGAATGTGGAGATTCTTTGTGATGTAGACACTGCCCACACAGTAACCAAATCACCTACAGCAACATCAAGCAAGCTTAATAATGTTATGCAATGCCAGAGCAAGCAAAATCCTCTCTTGTATTACAAGAGGTATAGACTCCAGAGAGAGAGAGAGATCATATTACCCCGGTACAAATCATTAGTAAGACCTCATCTGGAATATGCAGTTCAGTTTTGGGCACCAATTCCCAAAAAGAACATTGGAGAACTGGAGAAAGTACAGAGAAGGGCAACCAAACTGATAAGAGGCATGGAGGAGATCAGCTATGAGGAAAAATTAGAGGAACTGAGTTTATTCTCTCTTGAGAAGAGGAGATTAAGGGGGGATGTGATCTCCATGTATAATACATAAGGGGGGATATGACCTCCATGTATAAATACATCAGTGGTTCATATAGTGAACTCGGTGTAGAGCTATTCACCCTGAGGTCATCACAGAGGACAAGAGGGCACGCTTTACATCTAGAGGAAAAGAAATGTAATCTCCAAACACAGAAAGGTTTCTTCACAGTGAGAGCTGTGAAAATGTGGAATAGACTCCCTCAAGAGTTGGTTCTGGCCAGCTCAATGGATTGCTTTAAAAAAGGTCTGAATTATTTCTTGGATACACAGAATATAACTGGATACTAACATTTATAGGTGAAGTTGATCCATGAAAATATGATTGCCTCTGGGGGGATCAGGAAGGAATTTTTTTTCCCCTGCAGGAGCAAATTGGATCGTGCTTTGCTGGGTTTTTTTTGCCTTCCTCTGGATCAACTGTGGGTATACTATTATAACTATATTTTTTTATTTTTTTTTTTTTTAGTGTTTGAACTGGATGGACTTTTGTCTTTTTTCAGCCAGACTAACTATGTAACTATGTAATCATTGCAGTATAGTTGAATAGCAATGCTAATAAGATAACCACATTGGGCCAGCGCCTTCTTTTCACTTTCTTAATCGTTTGTAGCATGGCAGAGGTATGTAAATCACAGTGACATAAGAAGCTTGGTTTTGGGAAGTTTGAGAATCAGTCTTCTTGTTGAACAGAAATGCAAACACTTTGGCAGATAAAACAGTTCACTTATACAGTATATAACAACAGCGCTTTTAATTATTTGCCTAGAGTTCTGCTTTTGTAGTTCCTTATTTTAAATAACATGCATTTTAACTAATTCTTTGAAGAGTCTGGTTTTTTTAATAAAATTTGATTTTATTGTAAAAGTTTTTAAACCAATACATTTAGAGGGTAGGGCTAAATTAGTGTTTTTTCATACATTATATAAACATACCATCCTTTGTTAAAAACATGGTGCCATTGACAGTACCCCTTACATAGGCTCCCTCCCAGTTACTCCCCCCAGTTACAACCATATTTACCTATAGTTCTTCTCAATGAACAAGACTTTTTCTGACTAAATATCCTTTTTTTAATCCACCTAACCGATTGTGGAAATATTCTGAGAGAAATTTAAAAGTTTGTGCAATGCTGGCTATTCCCACAAAGTTATATATCCCTTGTAGATATTGAAATATTCTGCTTCTATGTGCTGAAGATGCTTGTCATAAGGGAAGAGTAATATTCTGGGGGTAGTTTGTAATACACTCCATTTGTGGTATGTGTTCTGATGGTTATTAAGCCATGGTATCCTTCCATGAATGTCCCCTGGTCTTTAGTATGCTCCACTGTTAACGTGTATGTAGAGGAGGCCTTCAAAAGACGGATAGTGCTTAGCCAACCCTTGCCAAGAGCCACCGCCTGCAGTTGGAAGGACACATCCTGCCACACCCCTTCAAAGAGCTTTAACATATCCAGCACCATTGGGTCTGTGTATCCATTATTCAGCTTCTCAAAAGGCCATCTAGGGGCAATGGTGACCCCTGGGAAAATGTTGTTGATGCTGCTGATGAAGTCTTCTCCTTTGATATATCCTGGTGTGCTGAAATTCCCATAAGATATCTCCATGCTGATCCACACTGGAACATACAGCAGTTTATCACTGTTCAGCCTATTCAGTAGATGCAAAGTCTCATTGAGAGAAACATGATCTTTAGGTTTCATATATACACCCCATGGGAGAGCGGAAGCAACCACCATCTTCAGACAGCCTTCCAGTGGAAGTGTAACGTTGGACTGGGCAAGCACCACCACTGGCATAAGAGTGGAGCTGACCGACTGAACGTCAACTTCAAATGTGAGCATTCCAAAGCTACCTGCAACACAGAGAACATTGTAACTGTGTCTGATAGGATACACATTATTGCATAGATGCCTGTACATATCCTCAGGCTTCAGGAGTATTACTTGACTTTTCTCCTAAACACATTATCATTGATTGTAGGAGCGGGTGAGGCAGGTCTGAGCAATAGAGAATGGCCAAAAAGGAGAAAAGTACACCAGCCTTGCGCATTACCTTAAGGCCCCATCTAGTCATCAAAAGTAGATTAAATATACTCACAAACAACAAGAGTCCCAGGCATATTAATCGCTGAAGTGTTAACCTCACTTTCAGCACCTGGACAACACCCCACAGCAGATGCAATAGCTAACATGTTTTGAGAGGTATACCCTCTTCATCAGAATAAATGGTGCCTTAAGGTAATGCACAAGGCTGGTGTGCCCCTCTTGTTTTTTTCTCCATAGTCCCTAGGATTTCCCCCAACCTGAAGAATCCACAAGCTTACCCAAGAACCTTACTGGTGCATAGAACCTACAAGTTCTTCTGTCTCACAGATGACTTATGTACTTTCTACTGGTTCACAGTATCTTAGCTCTAATGTGATGTTCATGGTTTCATTTTTTGAGCAATAGATGATATGATACATGTCTAATTACTTTTCCCTATTTTGTTCTCATTTCTTAAACAGTAGCTCCAGATAATTTATTTTTTCTAAACGTGTTACAAAACCCAGGACCCTGCATTCACTATATCTGGTCTCCCATAATACACACAACATGGAAATGCAATTATTTTTAGTATATACAAACTGCAAAATACATTTTTCATCAGCAGTTAGAACAGTCATGTGACTTCTATCAGTGTCCAGCAGAGCACTGGTTAAAGCTGGTAGGAGTTTTCATTTTGCTCTAGAAGGATGTAGAATCTCTGACCTCTGTCTGGACAGTGCCGATCATCCCAGTGCTGATCACATGCACTTTCCCAAGAAAAAAAAAACAAAATTCTCTAGCAATACATACCAAACTGAGCATGTGCAGAGTGACTCCACATGATATGTCTTATCAGGAGATAAGAGGGGGACACTGGAAGAAGGGGAGGATCAGAGAAGTCAGGATCAAACTGCTTTTTTACACAATGCAGAGGAATAACCCCTAAGTTTTCACAGTGAGTATAACAAGCATGCTTTTCTGCATATACAGACTGATTTTACTGTTTAGTAGCTTAGGGTTTAGTAACACTTTAGGTTTAAAAATGGGGAAGAGTTAGAAATTTTGTCATGTTTTAATTGCTGTGTGGGTCTTTGTCTGGAAAATTTCCTTTAATTTCCTGTCCTGGTGTCACTACAGTAGTAGCTTATTGTCCACTTAATTAAGGGTAGTCATATATATGGCTAGATTTCAGCCAATGCGCTGAATAAGACAAATCAATAGATTCCTAGGGAATCCCGGCTATTGTATTCTCAAATCATAGAAATACACAAAGGAGCGCCAGACAAAAACCATATGAAAGGGTCAAAGATAATTGTTTTTAAAAAGAAGTCATATAAAAACATTCAACGCGTTTTGGCATCAACATCACCCCCTTTAACCAGGGCTCACACAGGATAAAACAGATTCTGAGCATCAATAGAGGTCTCCATCCTGGAGTCTACTGTAATCTGTGAGCCGTAGCACCTGCTGTTGTCTGAATACCCAAACAGTGACTGCGTCTGATTGGATGTAATCACTGTTCCGCTGTCAAACTTCCATTTGGCTCCTTCTTTTTCGATACTGACTATTAGCATTAATCAGCTGGAATATGAGCTACAGTGGGGATCGAAAGTTTGGGCACCCCAGCTAAAAATTTGTATTAATGTGCATAAAGAAGCCAAGGAAAGATGGAAAAAATCTCCAAAAGGCATCAAATTACAGATTAGACATTCTTATAATATGTCAACAAAAGTTAGATTTTATTTCCATCATTTACACTTTCAAAATAACAGAAAACAAAAAAAGGTCGTCTGCAAAAGTTTGGGCACCCTGCAGAGTTAATATCTTGTACTGCCCCCTTTGGCAAGTATCACAGCTTGTAAACGCTTTTTATAGCCAGCCAAGAGTCTTTCAATTCTTGTTTGAGGTATCTTTGCCCATTCTTCCTTACAAAAGTCTTCCAGTTCTTTGAGATTTCTGGGCTGTCTGTCACGCACTGCTCTTTTAAGGTCTATCCATAGATTTTCAATTATGTTGAGGTCAGGAGATTGTGAAAGCCATGGCAAAACCTTCAGTTTACGCCTCTTGATGTAATCCCCCGTGGATTTCGAGGTGTTAGGATCATTATCCATTTGTAGAAGCCATCCTCTCTTTATCTTCAGCTTTTTCACAGATGGCATCAAGTTACCATCCAAAATTTGCTGAAATTTTATTGAATCCATTTTTCCTTCTACTCGTGAGATGTTCCCTGTGCCACTGGCTGCAACACAACCCCAAAGCATGATTGATCCAACCCCATGCTTAACAGTTGGACAGAGGTTCTTTTCATTAAATTCTGTGCCCCTTCTTCTCCAAACGTACCTTTGCTCATTCCAGCCAAGAAGTTCAATTTTAACCTCATCGGTCCACAGAACTTGTTTCCAAAATGCATCAGGCTTGTCTATATGTTCATTTGCAAAGTTCAAACGATGATTTTTGTGGTGAGGACGTAGGAGAGGTTTTCTACTGATGACTCTTCCATGAAGACCATATTTGTACAAGTATCTCTTTATAGTGGAATAGTGTACCACAACTCCATTGTCTGCCAGATCTTTCTGGAGGGATCGTGCAGTCAAACGTGGGTTTTGAATTGTTTTTCTCACAATCCTGCAAGCTGTTCTGTCTGATATTTTTCTTGGTCTTCCAGATCTTGCTTTAACTTCCACTGTTCCTGATGACTGCCATTTCTTAATTACATTCCGAACAGAGGATATTGAGATCTGAAAACGCTTTGCTATCTTCTGATAGCCTTCTCCAGCTTTGTGAGCGTCAACTATTTTCAGTTTCAGTTTTCTAGACAAATGCTTAGAAGAACCCATGGTGCTGATTGCTGGGGCAAGGTCAGATGAGTCTGAGCATTTAAAACCTTTGAGATTGACATCACCTGGTCTTCCCAGACGATGATTGAGAACAATCCATGACACTGGCAGGTCTCAGCTTGGCAAAGGGGGCAGTGCATGCTATAAATTCTGCAGGGTGCCCAAACTTTTGCAGACGCCATTTTTTTGTTTTCTGTTATTTTGAAAGTGTAAATGATGGAAATAAAATCTAACTTTTGTTGACATATTATAAGAATGTCTAATCTGTAATTTGATGCCTTTTGGAGATTTTGCCATCTTTCCTTGGCTTCTTTATGCACATTAATACAAATTTTTAGCTGGGGTGCCCAAACTTTCGATCCCCACTGTATGTATGGCCAGCATAAGCTCTGAATGAATTGTATAGAAATATTGAACCTGTGTGGGCTCACATAAGATTCAAAGTATTCATAACAACTGGATAATTCTAAATAAAATGGTGACTGAATAAACTACAAAATTATTCCTTTCGACCTAAAGAGGTTGCAAAGCTGGCCTGGCAAAGCTTCAAATTTTACAACTATTTCTTTGCATTATTTTAGATTGTAAGCTCTTGTGAGCAGGGCCCTCCTAACATTCTTTTCTTGAATTGTTTCTTTGTAAAGTGCTGCGTACTGTACACATTATAAATCCTGAAATATAATAAAATGTCTTTTTTATCCTAAAATTAGTTTTAAGATATTTTCCTGCAATGAGGCTGTAGTGTTTGAGCTTGGGCCCCTCCTACATTCTTTTCTTGGAATTGTTTTCTTGGGTAAAGTGCTGCGTACTAGTACAAATTATAAATCCTGAAAATATAATAAAATCGTCTTCACTTTTTTATCCTTAAATTAGTTTTACCATCGGTTTCCTTATATAAAGAAACAATTAGAAACTTTTGACAGTTTAGCAAAAAGAATGCTATGGAAGAAAAGGCTTTAAAACATATGGTCATAATATGTAATGTTTATAAACATCTTCCATGAGTTCTACCTCAGCGACTGTTGGAATAGCTGCAAAAAGCATTATGAGGGCATGGCCTGTCTCTGTACAAGTTTTCTTTCCTAACAAACCATGTGCCTCTTTTGTGTGTAGCCAGGTGTTGGCATGAATCCTAAGCAGAGACTACCTGTTACTTTAGTCTTGAAGGCATCACAAGTCCCAGCATGTCCATACATTGAACTCCCCATTGACGTTCAATGTTTACCTTTTGATTGGCCAAGATGGGATACCAAGAAAATGTGATGAAGAGAGAACCACGACCTCCTACTCTCTAGCTCCCTTGTCTCCTCCTCCCATGCTCGTCTCCAGGACTTCTCCAGAGCTTCCCCCATCCTCTGGAACTCTCTACCCCAATCTATCAGACTATCGTCTACTTTGCCAACTTTTAGGTGATCTCTGAAAACCTATCTCTTAAGGGAAGACTATCCTGCCTTCAGCTAATAATGGAATATTTTATTCCTTCTACCAGTCCATCCCCCACAGTTATTACCTTTTGTACCACCAGTCCCTCCCTCTTAGATTGTGAGCTCCAAGGAGCAGGGCCCTCCTAACCCTCTTGTATTGAACTGTATTGTTGCTGTATTGTCTCCCTTTACTTTGTAAAGCACTGAGCAAACTGTTGGTGATATATAAATCCTGTATAATAATAATAATAATATTGGGATATGTTGTTTCAACCTAACAAGTGGAACCATGCTTTATGGGGGAAAGAAGTATAATTCCCAAGAGTCTTGGCATCGGGAGGAGGAGAGAGAGGACTTTTAGGAAGTAGCCTGAGAGCGTTAGAGGCACTTGGCACCAGACCAGAGACAAGGACAAAACGACGTACATAGTGTGGGGTCCGCAGCACCTGAACTCTGCATATCTTTCATTTTGCTGCTAGCAACACCTAAAGCCTGGAGCAGAGCTGTCAGCTCATCTACAGTACCTGGGACTGTACAGCAGAGCCTCCGACTCACTCTTACAGAGACCAAAGGACGCCAATCGGAATATTGAGTCAACCTGAGCAGGCAGAACACTCCAGAAAGCGGAGTGGAAATCAGCATGGCCAAAAAAAGAGGGGCCCCTAAAAAACAATTGGAATCGCCGCTAAAGCACAGGAGCCAGTAAGAGGGTTGCTAACTCATCCTTCCTTTCTCCTCTTCACTTACCCTTGACCCTTGAACCTACCACCTGTACTCTCTGCAGACCTCACAGGGGATTCCACTATTTGGTAAATCTCCGGCAGCCAGTCACGCTAACTTTGCTGTACCCCAAAGCTCCAGTATCACCCAGCTAACAGTCCCTTACTTTCCCACCTGACAATTATACTAAACTTGGAACCATTCTTTTTTCCAACCAAGTTATCTCATTGGATAAGGCTCCCAGCCAGCTTGTTCTGGTAATTCCTAATTGACTTGAGCAGTAGACAACCCAAGAACTCTATCAAACGTGCACCACCTTAAGGGCCCCAACTTTGCTGGCCAGCTACGGAAACTGTTTTCAGTTAAGGTGTCCATACTGCAGAAGCTATGTTGGCACCAGTATTCTTCTGTTTGAGTTTGTAGGCTTACCCATCCAAATCCTCATCCATTCACTTAAAGCCTGTTTTATAAGTCTGTTGTCAAGACCTGCAGGATGAACTTAACCAGGGTTTCTCGATGACAGTATAACAGAATAATTGTCTTCTTTCTAAAATTCTCCTGCCGGCACAGTACCTCAGTGCCCTTGCCACAGTTTAAGCTGAATCTAAGACTACCAGTCTAAATCCAGGCTCGGTCATTATCTCCTGTGATTTGTTTGGGTTTACTTTAGCATAGTAGGCCTCTGTCTAGAGTTAGGGGAAATGTGGTTTCCTTGTTTGTTACCTCCAGACTGTTCTCTGTATACACTATTATCAGTACAGTCACCGTTGTTTGATTTGTTGTCCTTTTGATTTATTGTGAAGGGTGTGTCAGCGTGGTACACATAGAGTTAATCAGGTGTCTCCACTCCAGGTCAGGCTCAGAGGGTGTTTCTATACTGCGGCCCTGTGGAGGGTGCACGGGTATTCTTATTTTCACCTCATACTGTTTTTGCAGCCTGTGTTCATTTTTTTTTAAATGAAAAAGGCATGAACCCCAACATATTGATGTGGGAAAGAAAACTGGTTGGAATGCAACATACACCGATCAGTCACAACACTACTGTATAGCCACTGACCGGTAAATTGAAGAACATTGAATAACTCTTTACAGTGTCATCTGAAAGTGGGTGGGTGGGGGGGGATATATATATTTTTTTTTTAATCAGAAGTTAATCAGGTGTTTTTTTGTAAACCAAAACAATACATAGGCATCAACATAGCATGTAAAGGGGAATTTAAAGAGTAACAACACTGCACATACCACAGTCAAAACATCCAAAGCGAGGTATAAGCACAGTTCCACCTAGGAGGACAAAACCACCTTAATGGTAATAAGTACATTCTCACCCAACCCCCCCCTGCCAAGTGGTATAAGCTGGCTACAGCCAAACAAACTAGAGGGGTCTGTTTGCAACTAAAGCAGGCCATAAGTGGGTGGAATTCTGAACAATTTTTCGATTGAAAACATCGTTCATTCTGTAATCCAATGGTGCCACCATTCATTTAAAAAATTGGTAGTTTTTCACAAATTTTCTAGCATGCTCGATAAATGAAATGGGGAGGAACCACGAAAATCGGCCAGTGCCATTGCCCCACTAACAGAGCGAAAATCAGCTGATTATTCTTCGGTTTAATTTTTGGAAATCTACCCATGTATGGCCGGCCTTAGTCTAACAGGCTGTGGGCAGGTGTATCCAACCACGGGGCCCATATCTTTTCAAACTTGTAAGGGCAACCCCTATATTGATAAATATATTTTTCTAAACAAAGCCTATCACTCATGTAGGCTATCCATTCCTTACAAGTGGGAAAAGTATTGGACGGGTGGAAGTTAGTCTGTGTATGCAGTAAAGCATGCTTGTTATACTCACTGTGGAACCAAAGGAGTTAATCCTCAACATTGTGTGAAAAGGCTGTTTGATCCCTTCTTCCCTGCCCTTCCTCTTGTTTAAATGTCCACGCTGATAAGACAGACTGAACCCGTAGCCCTTCTGTACATGCTCAGTTTAGTATGTATTGCTAGAGAAAATTTTTTTTTTTCTTGGGAGAGTGCATGTGTTCAGCACAGGGCCAATCAGCGCTGTCCAGACAGAGGTCAGGGGTTCTGCATCCTTCTAGAGCAGAAATAAAAACTCCTCCTACAAGCTTTGACCAGTGCTCAGCTGAAGTCACAAGACTGCTCTAACTGCTGATGAGAAAAGGTATTTAGCAGTTTATATTTACTAAAGTAATTGCATTTCCATGTTGTGTGTACTGTGGGAGAGAAAGATATAGGAAATGCAGGGTCCTGGGTTTAGTAACGCGTTCAGTGATGCTTTTTTGAAGCATTAATGAAGCTTGACAAATGCCCTGTGTAGTACTTTAACATTTCAATGTATCCAGACATAAGATGTTCCTATGAAATGCACAAGCAGTGCACTTGTTGTCATATGGAAACAGTGAGGTCAGTATGTGATGTAAGGATCCCTGCCATCATCAAAGAATCACTGCTTACTTTGTAGAAGGCTCTGCACAGCTGAAACATCACCTTCAGAGTCAAACCATTTCACAAGAATTCCGTCATTGTCCTCCGGGTGGAAATACATACGCAGACTGCCACCGGAATAAAACAGTTTCCTCCTGTTTGCATTCACTAAGTAAAAGAAAGAAAAGGCATGACTGTGTTCCAGACCCTCACTAATGGACAGCACAAATACAGTATACCTATATTTATATCAAGCCTCATCCTCAAGGTCCCTTACAGTTTTGTACAGAAATTCAGAAATGCTGGATGGGACTTCACAGTCATAGGCTAAGCCAAACTGGTGCATTTTTTGAGGATTTTAAGATTTGCCGAGAAGAGGATTTGTTCTATTCAACTTGCATGTATTTTTATATCTTATATTGAACTGCATGAGATTACTTTTCTGTAGTATGTTGACATCTAGTGGCATTTATTTTCAGCTAAAACTTGTTTACTAATATGATTTTGGTATCTTCCTCCATCCTCTCCTTCTGTTTTGTGCTAGTTTGTTCAACCCTAGCTAGACCCTCCCCATTTCTTCCATGACCCCTCAGTCAGTGTTAATTATTTGCAGAGACTGGGCTTAGGAAAGTCATTGTCTTCTTCAAAAGACTAGAAAAACTTTTTCTGTAACTCGACTGAAAAAAGGGGAAAAGGAAATAGGCAAAGGGAAAAAATGGACTTTAGAGACACAGAATACATATACACTTATAAGTAAAATCATTTGTACTTTATTATGACAATGAGTCATGACAGAAAAACATTTTTTAGTTAAAATTTCCATTGTACAATATCCTTGCGGACAATGTCACACATCCCACCATACCGAAGGAGCAAGACCAGTGATAAGACATACTGTAACCACCAGGAAAGGTCCTATGGGGAGGTGAGGGACATTATGCCGCTAGAAGAATGGCCCAACATGTTTCGTGACAACTATCGCTTGCTCAGGGGCTGAATTACAAAATCTAAAAAGGAAACACACACATACATACATATATATAAATATATATATATATACACACAGTCAGGTCCATAAATATTGGGACATCGACACAATTCTAACATTTTTGGCTCTATACACAACCACAATGGATTTGAAATGAAACGAACAAGATGTGCTTTAACTGCAGACTGCCAGCTTTAATTTGAGGGTATTTACATCCAAATCAGGTGAATGGTGTAGGAATTACAACAGTTTGCATATATGCCTCCCACTTGTTAAGGGACCAAAAGTAATGGGACAGAATAATAATCATAAATCAAACTTTCGCTTTTTAATACTTGGTTGCAAATCCTTTGCAGTCAATTACAGCCTGAAGTCTGGAACGCATAGACATCACCAGACGCTGGGTTTCATCCCTGGTGATGCTCTGCCAGGCCTCTACTGCAACTGTCTTCAGTTCCTGCTTGTTCTTGGGGCATTTTCCCTTCAGTTTTGTCTTCAGCAAGTGAAATGCATGCTCAATTGGATTCAGGTCAGGTGATTGACTTGGCCATTGCATAGCATTCCACTTCTTTCCCTTTAAAAAACTCTTTGGTTGCTTTTGCAGTATGCTTTGGGTCATTGTCCATCTGCACTGTGAAGCGGCGTCCAATGAGTTGTGAAGCATTTGGCTGAATATGAGCAGATAATATTGCCTGAAACACTTCAGAATTTTTCCTGCTGCTTTTGTCAGCAGTCACATCATAAATAAATACAAGAGAACCAGTTCCATTGGCAGCCATACATGCCCACGCCATGACACTGCCACCACCATGCTTCACTGATGAGGTGGTATGCTTAGGATCATGAGCAGTTCCTTTCCTTCTCCATACTCTTCTCTTCCCATCCCTCTGGTACAAGTTGATCTTGGTCTCATCTGTCCATAGGATGTTGTTCCAGAACTGTGAAGGCTTTTTTAGATGTCGTTTGGCAAACTCTAATCTGGCCTTCCTGTTTTTGAGGCTCATCAATGGTTTACATCTTGTGGTGAACCCTCTGTATTCACTCTGGTGAAGTCTTCTCTTGATTGTTGACTTTGACACACATCTTGTTCGTTTCATTTCAAATCCATTGTGGTGGTGTATAGAGCCAAAAAAATGTTAGAATTGTGTCCATGTCCCAATATTTATGGACCTGACTATATACATATATATATATATATATATATGAACATATTAGTTGTAATAGTTTGCATCATAAACGTGAAAATCTTACATCAATTAGCTTAAAGTGATTCTAAAGGCTCAAGGTTTTTTACCTTCATGCATTCTATGCATGAAAGTAAAAAACCTTCTCAGTGCAGCATCCCCCTATTACTCACCTAAGCCCCCTCTCGATTCAATGATGTGCATTAGAGTCTTGGCTATTCCAGGACTCCCTCTTCTCTTTGGCTGAGACAGAACAGGAGCAATTGGCCCCCACAGCTGTCAGTCACAGCCAGTGAGCCAATGAGAACACAGAGGGGGCGGGGCCAAGCCACAGTTCCATGTGTGAATGAATACATGGAGCAGCGGGTGCCCCCATAGCAAGCTGCTTGCTGTGGAGGCACCTGGCAGGAGGGAGGGACCAGGAGCGCCAACGGCAGACCTGAGAAGAGGAGGATCTGGGCTGCTCTGTGCAAAACCACTGCACACAGCAGGTAAGTAAAGACATGTTTGTTACTTTGTCCATAAAAAAAATAAGCTTTTAGAATCACTTCAAGTAAAATACTGTGTCTTATTGAAGAGTTAAGCTGTCGGTGGATGGTACCAAGTCAGCAGGTGACCATACTGTCCAGACAGATGGGGGTGTAAGGAGGTATGTCAATGCATAAAGTGGCATTTGAAACAGAAAAGGGCTTATCCACCACGTTGTGTTTGTGGGTGAAGAGTGCAGGAGGAAAAAATCCCATTTCAGCTTTCTTGTATCTGATGATCACAGTTTTGGGTTATTTAATGAACATCTCCCTATTAAAGTACAATTCCCATGGCAAACAACAATACATATAAATAGGTACCATCATCACTCTTACACCTACTATACATACCAGTTGGTATTTTTCATATACCCGTTGGGACTATAGCAGTACCAAGAAACCATCCACAGATGTTTAAAATACAGGCAGTCCCTGGGTTACGAACAACATAAGTTCTGTAGGTTTGTTCTTAAGCTGGATTTGTATGTAAGTTGGGACAGGTAAATTTTTTCAGTGTAACCCAAGCTAAAAATTATTTTTACATTTTGGATAGCATAGGGAAGGATTAACTGGCCATGCAGTGATGTAGAATTGCTGACAGTTCTGATAGACAGTAGGTGTCAGTATGCGGTGAGCAGCAAAATAGCCGCCTGGTGGTTTCCAGGACCAGTGTGACGTCATGCTGCCTCCGCTCTTAAAGCTGAGCTCCACCCAAAAGGGAAGTTCCGCTTTAAGACTTTGTCCCCCGCTCCCCATTAAGGATTGGCAGCTTTGGGGAGAGGGGAGGGGAGTGGGTACCCGAATTTGACAGATACCCGCTCCCACTTCCACTGCGAAGGCGATCAGAAGTGGAAGTTGTCCCCCTCCGTAGTCTTCTGGGACCCGCATGCACAGTGGGCACCCAGCTGTGAAGCTGCAAGATGTCACAGACGGGTGCCCACACTGAAGATGCCACGCCAGGGAGAGGTGAAACCAGCGGTAGTGAGGACACCACTGGACCGAGGGTCAGGTAAGTGTCTGTATTTTAACAGTCAGCAGCTACAGTTTTTGTAGCTGCTGACTTTTATTTCTTTTTTTTTTTTTTCCGATGGAACTTCGCTTTAAGTACGAGTTGTATGAAAGTCGGATGTTTGTAACAGGGACTTCCTGTATATATATTTTATTAGACATTCATAAAACACATTCCCATTTTTAATTAGTTAAAAATAATAAATAACAATCTGGGGCTTTTACACAACAAACATAACATAAATCAGTTATTTCCATCTAACCGCCGCATTACACTTTGTTAATCTCAGACCTGTATGTAATAGTCAATAAATCCTTGCTGTAGGGACAGGACATTCTCTACGCATTTCGCGATGACCAGTCACTTCTTCAGGAGGATATGAAAAGAACTTGATTGCATTAAACCATGCTTGGCCTACAACTATAAAAATATTTTCCAATGTGGAGCTGTGGAATGAAAGGTCAAACATAGTTGCCTGGTATAAATCCTGGGCAAGAGAGCCACAAAGATATAAGACCTGGTCACAGGTTAGCATGGCTTATCCTAAGGCCAGATGTGCTTGGTTTCTAGAACAAGGCCAACAGCTTACATGCATATAATATACTGTATGTTCTGTTCGTTCTTCCAGATGATTGGACATCGGCTCATTTAAAGTAAACCCATCATAGGGGGGGAAACATGTTTGCTGCCAATACTAACCAACTTCTAAAAATGCTTGATATCTGGCTGCTATGCTGGCTCACTGACTTCGATACATCCTAAATTGTTGGCCTGACATGTATATAGTATCAGGAAAATCAGAGAAAAGTCATAATCCCTTATCCACACTCTTGTTCCAGGAGATTCAAAGTATTGAAGCCAGAGGGACAGTATGGCAGGTAACTTACAACTTCGGGAAGGGTCAGCAATGGCAGCTTTCTATAAACAGATTTCTTTCACATAAATATCTAAAAAAGAAACATAAATTTCTGCGTTTACCTGCTTGTTGATGAAGGCCAATTTCACACATGTGGCCAGGGAGGGTAGAGGGGTGGTAAAAAAGAGGCTGTTGATTCTTGCTTTTTGTGTCCCCTGACTGCCTACCTACAATGTGACATGGGTCGATTAACATTGCCACGGCACTTAGCTTAGCATGTTGAGTTTGGCAAGTGGTGCTTCTTGAAAAACTCACCCATTGAAGTCAATGGGACCGTGATGCAATCGCATGACAAATGCATTCAGGACAGAGTGCTTGTTCCTGATAGTCCAACCCTCAGCAAGGTGCACTCACCTATTCACACTCTTTAGGTGACGGATGATGTGGGAGCTTACCCGGGTGTGTGTTGTCACCATTCTCTGACAGTGTTCAAGTTTGTGCAGACTTCAGAGCATGTTACATGCTGTTATCAACCAATCAATGGGTCTGAAGGAGCAGCGAGGAAGTGCAGATCGGTGAGGCTGTCAGAAGGCATTGGGTGGGCAAAGCGACATAGACCACTCCTTGTCTGGAAATGTTTGTTTACATGTACCAATCAGTATTATTTGGTAGAAAATGACTTAGAACCCCCAAATGTTATATGTTTTTTTAAAGCAGAGGCCCTAGAGCAGGGGTAGGCAACCTGCGGCTCTCTATGTTGTGGAACTACATTTCCCATGAGGCATTGCAAAGATTACAAAACTGACAGTTAGAGCTATGACTTGCAGTGGCATGATGGAACTTGTAGTCCTGCGGCTCTCAGGTTGCTTACCCCTGCCCTAGAGGATAACACTGTTATCAGCTCCTCTGTGGCAGCCGGTCACCGGCATCTCTCCGGCAGGTCCAGCTGCCTGCACCTCTCCCAGCAGGTCCAGCTCCCTGCACACACTGCATAGCAGACGCCTCCTCCTCAGCTCAGACATTGTACACAGACATGAGGAGGAGGAGAGGAGGGACAACACTGCGTGAGCCGTGCTGCTGTGAGGACTGCCGTGAATTTACCACGAGTGGAGAGCTACAGGGGAGCGGGACACACCATCTAGCACAAGTCCTCTCTACTCTCATAGAGCACCCTCCAGCATATATTGGACCCCCCCCCCCTCCAACCCACCTTCTACTACAAGTCCTCTCCCATCCCAATGTGCCCCCCAGTACATAAAAGGTCACCCACCTTCTAGAACAAGTCCTCTCCCCTCCCAAAAGCACCCCCCCATTACATATCAGCTCCCCCATATCACCTTCCAGCACACGTCCTCTCCCCTCACAAAGCACCCCCCATTACATATCAGCTCCCCCCACTTCACCTTCTAGCACAAGTCCTCTCCCCTCACAAAGCACCCTCCAGTACATATCAGCTCCCCCATCTCACCTAGCACACGTCCTCTCCCTCCCAAAGCACCCCCCATTACATATCAGCTCCCCCACTTCACCTTCCAGCACATGTCTCTCCCCTCCCAAAGCACCCCCCATTACATATCAGCTCCCCCACTTCACCTTCCAGCACATGTCCTCTCCCCTCCCAAAGCACCCCCCAGTACATATCAGCTCCCCCATATCATCTTCCAGCACACGTCCTCTCCCCTCCCAAAGCACCCCCCATTACATATCAGCTCCCCCACTTCACCTTCTAGCACACGTCCTCTCCCCTCCCAAAGCACCCCCCATTACATATCAGCTCCCCCACTTCACCTTCTAGCACACGTCCTCTCCCCTCCAAAGCACCCCCCATTACATATCAGCTCCCCCACTTCACCTTCTAGCACAAGTCCTCTCCCCTCCCAAAGCACCCCCCATTACATATCAGCTCCCCCATAGCACCTTCCAGCACACGTCCTCTCCCCTCACAAAGCACCCCCCCCCCCAGTACATCTCAGCTCCCTCATATCACCTTCTAGCATATGTCCTCTCCCCTCACAAAAGCACCCCCCAGTACATATCAGCTCCCCCATCTCCCCTAGCACACGTCCTCTCCCCTCCCAAAGCACCCCCCAGTACATATCAGCTCCCCCACTTCACCTTCTAGCACACACGTCCTCTCCCCTCCCAAAGCACCCCCAATACATATCAGCTCCCCCATATCACCTTCTAGCACACGTCCTCTCCCCTCCCAAAGCACCCCCCCCAGTACATATCAGCTCCCCCATAGCACCTTCCAGCACATGTCCTCTCCCCTCACAAAGCACCCCCCCCAGTACATCTCTGCTCCCCCATATCACCTTCTAGCACACACCCTCTCCCCTCACAAAGCACCCCCCAGTACATATCAGCTCCCTCATCTCACCTTCTAGCACACGTCCTCTCCCCTCCCAAAGTCCCCCCCACTACATATCAGCTCCCCCATATCACCTTCTAGCAAACATCCTCTCTCCTCCCAAAGGGGAGTTGTTTTTGTAGGCTTTTCCCCTAAAAAAAAGTATTTAGTCAGCCACCAATTGTGCAAGTTCTCCCACTTAAAAAGATGAGAGAGGCCTGTAATTTGCATCATAGGTAGACCTCAACTATGAGAGACAAAATGAGAAAAAAAATCCAGACAATCACATTGGCTGATTTGGAAAGAATTTATTTGCAAATTATGGTGGAAAATAAGTATTTTGTCACCTACAAACAAGCAAGATTTCTGGCTCTCACAGACCTGTACCTTCTTCTTTAAGAGGCTCCTCTGTCCTGCATTCATTACCTGTATCAATGGCACCTGTTTGAACTTGTTATCAGTATAAAAACACCTGTCCACAACCTCAAAAAGTCACACTCCAAACTCCACTATGGTGAAGACCAAAGAGCTGTCGAAGGACACCAGAAACAAAATTGTAGACCTGCACCAGGCTGGGAAGACTGAATCTGCAATAGGCAAGCATCTTGGTGTGAACAAATCAACTGTGGGAGCAATAATTAGAAAATGGAAGACATACAAGACCACTGATTATCTCCCTCGATCTGGGGCTCCACACAAGATCTCACCCCATGGGGTCAAAATGATCACAAGAACGGGCGAGCAAAAATCCCAGGACCACATGGACGACCTAGTGAATGACCTGCAGAGAGCTGGGACCAACGTAACAAAGGCTACCATCAGTAAAACACTACACAGATCCTGCAGTGCCAGACGTGTCCCCTGCTTAAGCCAGTACATATCTGGGCCCGTCTGAAGTTTTCTAGAGAGCATTTGGATGATCCAGAAGAGGATTGGGAGAATGCAATATGGTCAGATGAAACCAAAATAGAACTGTTTGGTAGAAACACAACTCGTCGTGTTTGGAGGAGAGAGAATGCTGAGTTGCATCCAAAGAACACCATACCTACTGTGAAGCATGGGGGTGGCAACATCATGCTTTGGGGCTGTTTCTCTGCAAAGGGACCAGGACGACTGATCCATGTACAGGACAGAATGAATGGGGCCATGTATCCTGAGATTTTGAGTGCAAACCTCCTTCCATCAGCAAGGGAATTGAAGATGAAACGTGGCTGGGTCTTCCAACATGACAATGATCCCAAACATACCGCCTGGGCAACGAAGGAGTGGCTTCCTAAGAAGCATTTCAAGGTCCTGGAGTGGCCTAGCCAGTCTCCAGATCTCAACCCCATAGAAAACCTTTGGAGGGAGTTGAAAGTCTGTGTTGCCCAGCGACAGCCCCAAAACATCACTGCTCTAGAGGAGATCTGCATGGAGGAATGGGCCAACATACCAGCAACAGTGTGTGCCAACCTTGTGAAACTTACAGGAAACGTTTGACCTGTGTCATTGCCAACAAAGGATATATAACAAAGTATTGAGATGAACTTTTGATATTGACCAAATACTTATTTTCCACCATAATTTGCAAATAAATTCTTTCCAAATCAGCCAATGTGATTGTGTGGATTTGTTTTCTCATTTTGTCTCTCATAGTTGAGGTCTACCTATGATGCCAATTACAGGCCTCTCTCATCTTTTTAAGTGGGAGAACTTGCACAATTGGTGGCTGACTAAATACTTTTTTGCCCCACTGTACCTCCTATAATAGAGTGCCCCCAGTCTGAATGAAGGAGCACAGGGGGCACCTAAGGATGGCAGAGGGAAATGTTAGATGGAGTAGCTGATTTAAACACACTAATGAATTGACGCCAAACTTCAGTTCTAGCTTTATGAGAAGTTACAGCAACAGTTTTGTTCCTTTTGGGATAAAGGTTTTACATAAAATAATAAAAGCTGATCATTTTAAGTACCCCTGTCAGTCTTAAATGATTTGTCTCATTCTTCTAAGGGTCCTTTTACACGGGCGTTCCATTTTTTTTCTTCAGTTCAGTCATGTTTTTTCAAAGTAAAAACGGATGAGTTTACATTTGTTTTTTTCATCCGCTTTTTATCTGTTTACATCAGTTTACATTGGTTTACATCCGTTTTCCATCCGTTTAGATCCGTTTTCATCCGTCTACATCCATTTTTGGTCTGTTTACATCTGTTGACATCCGTTTTTCATCCGTTCCGGGTTTTTTTTTTTGCAGAAAAATAAATAGGGTTTTCTTCCGTTCAAAAAAAATGGATGTTAACAGATGCGGACATTAACGGATTTAAAAAGATGTTCATCCATTTACATCTGCTAGTCCATAGAAATACATGAGGGTCCGTTTTTCATCCGTAAACGGACAGATGAAAGACGGACATACGGAACGCCCGTGTGAAAGAGGCCTAACTGCTACATCTGCAGAACAGCTTCTTCTGTTGAAAGAAAATACTTACTGACAGGATCACCAGGTGAAAATAAAAGAAAAGAAGCCTAAAAAAAGAACACCAATGCAGCTGTCACATACAAGAATTGGTAAGCTACAATATAATTACATTTTTCTTTTGTGTTTGTTAGCTCTCTAATCAACTTGCACATCTTTTGAACCGAATTACCTTCACCTTGTCACATTGCAGACTCTGGACTGACACTTACACGCTATCTTTTTAAATTCCGATAAGAGGGGTTCGTAAATATCATAATAGATCTGCTCAGGATTGCTGTTATCACGGATGAACAACAAGTCGTCCAGGGTAAGTGGGTCCGAACTGCCTTGCCATAAAGTGAGAGTGTACCTGTGCAGGGAACAAAAACAACCCTCAGATCAAACCAACACCCCACATCTCCATCCTGATACAACCACTATAAACTATGAATATTATACTGACAAGGTATAGCACCAATTAATCTAAAAGGTGCGCAAAGCCAACATCTCTGCAGTGATCAATACATAGTTACATCGTTAGTCTGGCTGAAAAAAGACAAAAAGTCCATCTAGTAGTGCAACCATTAAAAAAAAAAAAAAAAAGTTATCCTATACCCACCATTGATCCAGAGGTAGGAAGAAAAACCCAGCAAAGCATGATCCAATTTGCTCCTGCAGGGGAAAAATTCCTCCCTGATCCCCCGAGAGGCATTTCGGATATTCCTTGGATCAACTTTACCTATACATGTTAATATCCAGGTATATGTGTATCTAGGAAAGATGATGATGATTTGAACAGTTCCATTGCTGCAAATGGGGTGCAACTTGCCATGCGATTTTGAACTGGCAAATCACATTGGTGTGAATCAGGGTGCAATCTAACATTCGTTAACTGATTCTGACAAAAGAGTGGCAAAATGTTACACAGCAACAATGGAGACAGGCCCTCCCATCCTCTAATTGAGGAATTCTGTGAAATTGGATTGCAGGGAATATATAAAATTCCATTTAGGGTAATTTGAGTGGACTTCAGGACTTCAGCACAGTTGCAGAATTTGCTGGCTAGTTTCAACCTTCATTGTTCTCTGGAATTACTCATTAAACTCTGAGCTGGGCAGCACCAATGAAGGGCTAGAGTAGTATATAGTATATATATATAAATTACTATAATGTAAATTCTAATTTTATCTAACATGCATGACATGCTGCCTGTTACCGGTCAGACTGCTCCAGTAGCCAGCTGAAGTGAGGCCAGGCAGAGCGGGTCAGGACAGCTCGAGCTGGAAAGGTGATTTTCTGGGGAAGATCCTTCACTAGATCGTACATCTTCACAATCATTTCTCTGCTGTACGTTTTGTTGGAGATAATCGGTGGCAGGTACAGTGTCACCCATCCAGGGGAAATTGTGATATCCGGGAATTTCTCTTGGATTAAACCCAGAAACCTGCAACAATGGATTGTAGTTACAATAAAGACTTTCATCAATTTATCCTACTTGTCAGAATATTACCAGCTTGCCAATATTATACCAAAAATCCTCAGGATACTGACTGTGTGGCATTGATTCCTATCTCATGGTTGACATTGGGTCCGGCCACGATGTCCGCATTTATCCATACAGGACGGTTGATTTTAATCTCCGATGACTTTTTCAGCAATATGTCAAGTGACGGCCTGACAGCTTGAATGCTCTTGAAGTCCAGTTTGATGCCTGGATAGAACAAAAGGTTAAACTGTGCAATTGATACATAGGAATTTAAAATGTATCTAAACCAAAGAACAAAAAAGCAGCTTGACAGTATTTAGATCTGGTGGCTGTATGAGTTTTCCAGACTTTTTTTCCTTTTGTTTTCACGTGGTAAAACAGTTAGTAACACACTTTTCGGACAACAGAACACCCCTTTTCCTCTTCTCTATAAGGGGAGGTGTTTTGTAGTTCACAGCAATACCTGGAAACAATGCTAACTAATCCTAATTCAGCACAGGCAGAGAGCACAGGAAGTTATCTGCCCACAAGATTTCTGGAAGGACCAACCGTTTTTTAAACTAGAAACAGAAAAGTGAGTGGTCTATCGAGTCTGCCCTAGTTTTTGTTTGTTTTGTATTTTTTTTAGTCATTAACTGTTTTGTCTGAGTATAGATCTATGTTTCTATTATCAAACAATCATAACAAAACACTTTTAATGTTTTTTTAAAATTGAACTCCGGGATAAGCAAATATTGTCTAAATACAAGAGTCACGTGTATTCTTGCATGGATCTTGGTGTGCTTTGTATCTTTCTTCCAGATCTGTGCAACAATCCAATATAAACTTTTTCCCTGTGCAGGAGCTTCCTGTAGTAAAGACCGGTCACTGCTGCTGCTCTCTCCATGTGCAGGGTGACTGGTCTTGTCTCCGCCCCCTCCTGTAGTTTTCTGCAGACAGCCTGTAGTGGGCGGGGCCTGCTGGGTCCCTCGCACAACTTTGCTCTCTGCACAGACTATGTACAGCACAATGATGGTATTATGTTTTACCATATCTGGGTCTGCAAAGGCATTTGGAGCACACAGAGTTTATTTATATTCTTTATGGCTACTGGGGAATACATTTAGATGAAAGTTTTTGTCCCAGGAGTTCAGCTTTAACAGTGCAAAAGGGGAGCAAAATACCCAACGTTACTTGTTACAGATTACAAACGCTTTAAGTAATTCTCCATTGTGTCCTTTAGTGCATTGTGACCAGGAGCGGACTGACAACTCATGGGGCCCCCGGGCATTAGGGGATCATGGGGCCCCTGTGTCCTTGCCCCAAATCAAAAAAGCTTATGAAAAAGGTACCAGGGGCATCTCATGGGGCCCCCTACTGACCCCGGGCCCTTGGGCAGTGCCCGAGTTTCCAAATGGTCAGTCCGCCCCTGATTGTGACCTTGTCTGTTCCACAGAGAACCATTACATAATCATAGATTATATATACATTTTTTTGATCCAGTAACATGAAGACCAGAATATTACCTTTAGAGGAAAGCAGCACAGCGTCCAGCCATTCTTGCAGTGTATTGTCACTGTATATATCGGGGGGATGAGCCATGATAGGAATATTCGTCTCATTGACTGTTCCTTGTCCCTGTACATTGACGTCAGCCTCCAACACCATGATGCCGCCTGCAGGGTTATACATAGTAATCAGATGAAGATCTGTGCTCCCTCGATCATTATCACTGTGTCAGGCATTTCAACTGCATTTTTGCTACATGTCTGCCAAATAAAATCAATTACAGGATAAGTCACCTAAAGAGCAGGAAATCTACCAAACAAGGGTATAGACTGATATCTTTTCACTGTTTTACTGAGTCACATGACTCATAAACTTAAGCTGGCCTTACTTTGAGTGAAATTTTACTGAGTCAGTAGAGACCTGCCGAAATTCAATCAGTGTGTGGCTGTCCCCACTTAAGAGGTTGTTCATTTGATCCACATCTGTCAAAGGGAAATGCTGGAAAATGTTTCCTGATCAGTGACTGCAGCCATTGACCAGTGTACTCTGACAGCATAGGGTCCGCTGTCAAAAAAAACAATGTACCGGTGGTGGGGATTCTTCCATTCGCTATATATGTGCAATGTGCCGGTGGTGGGGATTCTTCCATTCGCTATATATGTGCACTGTGCCGGTCGTGGGGATTCTTCCATTCGCTATATATGTGCAATGTGCCGGTGGTGGGGATTCTTCCTTTCGCTATATATGTGCAATGTTTCCCAGTGGTGGGGATTCTTCCATTCACTATATATGTGCAATGTGCCGGTGGTGGGGAATCTTCCATTCGCTATATATGTGCAATGTGCCGGTGGTGGGGATTCTTCCTTTCGCTATATATGTGCAATGTGCCGGTGGTGGGAATTCTTCCATTCGCTATATATGTGCAATGTGCCGGGGGTGGGGATTCTTCCATTCGCTATCTATGTGCAATGTGTCGGTAGTGGGGTTTCTTCCATTCGCTATATATGTGCAAAGTGCCGGTGGTGGGGATTCTTCCATTCGCTATATATGTGCAATGTGCCGGAGGTGGGGATTCTTCCATTTGCTATATATGTGCAATGTGCCGGTGGTGGGGATTCTTCCATTCGCTATATATGTGCAATGTACCGGTAGTGGGGATTCTTCCATTCACTATACAGTGAAGGAAATAAGTATTTGATCCCCTGCTGATTTTGAATGTTTGCCCACTCACAAAGAAATGATCAGTCCAAAAATCGAATGGTAGGCGTATTGTAACACTGAGAAACAGAATAGCAACAAAAAACTCAAAATCTTGTCCCTGGATCTGAGTGCTGTTTAACTCCCTCTGATGCTAGGAAGTCAGCTGGGGGTCTAGCAAAAGGAACACCGACTGGTGTTCGGAAGAACTTTGTCCATCAAACCTACTCCTTAAAAGAACACTGCTCTGGGGCTCTAAAGAAGTTACTACTACTACGGCCTTAAGCTGAAATCCACTGTTTGATTCAACCAAGGACTCCAACATAGCTTATCCAGAAGATTATATAAAGTCTGCAATATGCAGTTCCTATTTTAGGAGTATCCCATTCATCTCCCTCATCCCTGTCCAAGTTCTCCAAAAAAAAAAACAACAACAAAAACAACAGCCCTAGACTGATTATTGAAGAAACATGTGACTGAGCCTATGTGCCTTGCTGCAGGGCAAGGTAACTGGGGAGGATCTGGACAGTATTCCTGCGGCTCTTTCAGGAGTAGTGCTACATGTACATCACATGATCAAGAGAGCTTTAAAGTACACAATATACGCCAAGCAATCATAACATTATGATGAACCACCGAATATTGAGTAGGTCCTCCTTTTGTCGCAATAACCAGCCCAGATCCATTATTGTATGGATGCCACTCGACCTCTGAAGGTATACTGTTGTTTCTGGCACCAAGCAGTCAGTGGTAGATGCTTTAAGTCCTGTAAGATGTGAGGTGAGGTCTCTATGAATCAGACATGTTTTCCAGCACATCCGACAAATGCTCCATGGAGTGAGATCTGGAGAATTTCAAAGCCAAGTCAACACCTCAAACGCATTGTTGTGTTCCGCAAACCATTCTTGAACCATTTTTGCTATGTGGCAGGGTACATTATCCTGCTGAAAGAGGGAACTGCCATCAAGGAATGCCATCTCCATGAAGGGGTGTACCTGGTCAGCAACAACATTTAGGTAGGTGATAAGTTACATCCACATGAATGACCCAAGGTTCTCAGGAGAACATTGTCCAAAGCATCACACTGCTTCTGCCAGCTTGCCTTCTTCATATACTGCATCCTGGTGCCATCTCTTCCCTGGGTAAGCAATGCACACGCACATGGTCATCCACGTGATGTAAAAGAAAATGTGATTCATCAGACCAGGCCACCTTCTTCTATTTGTCTGTGCTTCAATTCTGATGCTCATGGGCCCACTGTAGGCGCTTTTGGTTGTGGGCACAGGTCAACATGGGCATCCTGACCGGTCTGCAGCTACGCATCCCCGTACACCACAAACTGTGATGCCCATTTCTTCTGTTTTCAACACATCAGCTTCATGGACAACATGCTCACTTGCTGCCTAATATATCCCACCAACGTTTAGATGCCATTGAAATGATAATCAATGTTATTCACTTTACCTGTCCGTGATCTTAATCCTGTGTCTGATTGGTGTATGGTGTCATGGTGCTTAATGCACTGCCTAAAAGGACAACAGTACATTAGCCAAGTCCAATACATGGACCATTAACTGCTTTTTATTTTTAAAGTGTCCCGTGGCTTCTAATTGTACTTTGGCTTTTATTATAAAAATCTGAAGAGGGCTAATAAAAAAAAATCAGTTGTGTTTATTGGAACACCTGATAAAAATACAATTACAAAAAACATAAGCTGTGTAATAAAATAAGGGCCCTCTGGTTGGTTTCACGTCTTTGCTTTATAGTAACATGCTAAAAACTGTGCATTTCACCACTCATTACCTCAAGTGGAAGTAATGCAAAAACTGGTGCAGAATGATGTGTGTTATGAAAGCCACTCCAATACACCTTGTAAATGCACACCAAGACATGTCCACTGCAGTGCATCACAAGGAGAAAAAAAGGAACCATCTCTGATTGTGGAGCAATGAAAAACAGTACATGAACATGTTTTTGGTGCGTTGGCATCTCACAATGATTGGGCTGCATTAACTCAATATCTGTTAACTTGACTGCAGCAATGGAAGTGAAATGTAAAGCATACTCACTGTTCAGGGCTTCTTGCATTTGGCTCTTGCTATTGGCTGCATGATACCAGGTGACGAGTAAGCCATCCTTGGCTGAGATCTGCCCAATGGACTTTAGGTAGTCCAGCATATCTCCATCTGTGCTGAACCCAGGCTTGGAATCTAATGAGAATCATAAGTTTCAAACTGATAAAGAAAAACTATTTTGTACAGTCATATACACTCACCGGCCACTTTATTAGGTCCACCTTGCTAGTCTTGGCAAAGATTCAATGAGGTGTTGGAAACATTCCTCAGAGATTTTGGTCCATATTGACATGAGTTACTGTTGCTTTTCTATCATCTTGAACCAGTCTGCCTATTCTCCTCTGACCTCTGACATCAACAAGGCATTTTCGTCCATAAAACTGCTACTCACTGGATATTTTCTCTTTTTCGGACCATTGTCTATAAACCCTAGAGATAGTTGTACGTGAAAATCCCAGTAGATCAGCAGTTTATGAAATACTCAGACCAGCCCGTCTGGCACCAACAACCATGCCACATTCAAAGTCACTTAAATCCCCTTCCTTCCCCATTCTGATGCTTGGTTTGAATTTCAGCAAGTTGTCTTCACCGCGTCTAGATGCCTAAATGCATTGAGTTGCTGCCATGTGATTGGCTGATTAGCAATTTGCGTTACCAAGCAATTGAACAAGTGTACCTAATAAAGTGTCCGGTGAGTGTAGACGAAGAGAATATTAAAGTAGATTTCAAGGAGAGTTACAATAATTCTGTTTACTGTCAATGATTTGAACTGTTTAGGGATTTAAAAGCCCTCAATGGATCAACTTACACAGAAAACACCCCTGCCAAAAAATGCTGATTAAAGCTTATGTGCGCATGGATGCATTGGATAACATGCTGTGGAGTTTACTGGTTGGAGAAAAAAATACCAGAAGTAAAAAACAGCAACTGTAAAATGCCTAGTGTGCACAAGGCTTCTAAAATGTGCACTTAGGTGCTGGTGCCCTCCTGGTTTTTCTTTCCAAACATTGTGGTGGACCCTGATGGCGAGATCTCAGTAAGCACAGTTACTTACCATCTTTATGCTGATGACACACAAATCTATCTGTCTACCCCTCACCTCACCCCTTCAGTTTCCACCTGCATCGCTAGCCTACTAAGTGACATATCGGCTTGGATGTCACTCCACTTCCTCAAACTCAACCTTTCCAAAACTGAGCTCCTGTTATTCCCCCCAGCCCGCGCCACCCCCATTGACTTCACCATAAATATCGCTAACACCATCCTCAGTCCCTCCCCTCATGCCCGGGTACTGGGTGTAATCCTAGACTCCCATCTGTCCTTCCAGCCCCAGATCCATCGCTGAGAAAATCATGTAGACTTCACCTCCGCAACATCTCCAAGATACGCCCGTTCCTAACCCCGGAAACCACTAAGCAACTTATTCACTCCCTTATTATATCACGCCTTGACTATTGTAACTCCCTCCTCATTGGCCTGCCTCATCGCAGTCAGTCGCTGCCTCTTCAGTCTATCATGAATGCTGCTGCCAGACTCATCCACCTTACTAACCGTTCTGTATCTGCCACCCCTCTCTGCCAATCCCTCCACTGGCTCCCAGTTGCCCAACAGATAAAATTCAAAACACTAACAATGACATATTAAGCCGTTCATAACACTGCCCCAACTTACATAACCAATCTTGTCTCTAAATACCACCCAAACCATACACTCCGCTCCTCGCAAGACCTCCTACTCTCTAGCTCCCTTACCTCCTCCTCCCATGCTCGTCTCCAAGACTTCTCCAGGGCGTCACCCATCCTCTGGAACTCCCTACCCCAATCTATCAGACTTTCACCTACTCTACTTGCCTTTAGGCGATCACTGAAAACCTATCTCTTCAGGGAAGCCTATCTCGCCCTCTGCTAATACTGGAATCCTCTACTCTTCCAACCACTCCATCCCCCCACAGTTACTAGCTACTGTACCATTCACCCCTCCCCTTCTAGATTGTAAGCTCCAAGGAGCAGGGCCCTCAAATCCCTCTTGTATTGAACTGTATTGTTACTGTATTGTCTCCCACTATAATGTAAAGCGCTGAGTAAACCGTTGGCGCTATATAAAGCCTGTATAATCATAATAATAATAATACAGAGCTTTGGCTTATAAGAATGGGCTATAATCAGCTCAGGAGCAGAAGGGGCAATGGGGGTAAGGACATTTTGTTTGTAACTGTCCAGTTCTTTAAAGAAAACCAGTGCTGAGAGAAATTTTGTGGACCTCTCCTTCTGAAAATGGCAGTTGCCTGTCTGCCTTTGACTTCAATCTTTTCTTAGTCCATGGCATAGAATAAATATGTAACAACTTAAAGTGCATCTGAAGCTAAGACGTTTTGTACGTTTGGATAAACTTTTAGTGACTTTAAATATAATTTATTTCAAAACTCCTGATCTGCATGCTTGTTCCTGCTCAGTGACCTGGTGACGCCATCATACATTTTTCCAAATCTAGTTTTCTTGTAAGAACTTTCAAAGTAAAGTCTGTCATTAGGAAGGCTGAAAATGTTGTTTTGGAAATGTTGTTCGGAACCTGTCTGGCTCCAAACTGGCAATGCCTCCAAAGTCTAAGGAGTCACTTAGGACTGCACTAACACATGGAGTATCTACAGTATACTGGGTGTGCAGACTTGTCTGTGGGTATCTACCACCGCCATATACACATGGCCACAATCTCTCACCAAACCATCTCAAAATCATTAAAAAAAAGACAATATAGGCTGGTCAACAAATGTAATTTGCAGGCCCTAGCTATTAAAGTGTTACTAAACCCCGGACCCTGCATTCACTATATCTGGTCTCCCACAGTACACAGAACATGGAAATACAATTATTTTAGTCAATATAAACTGCAAAATACCTTTTCTCATTAGCAGTTAGAGCAGTCTTGTGACTTCTATCAGTGTCCAGCCGAACACTGGTTAAAGCTTTCTTTTCAGAGTTTTCATTTTGCTCTAGGAGGATGCAGAACCACCGACCACTGTCTGGACAGTGCTGATTGGCCCTGTGCTGGTCACATGCACTCTCCCAAGGAAAAACAAAAACCTCACTAGCAATACACACCAAACTGAGCATGTGCAGAGGGACTCCACACAATATACAGTATCTTATCAGGAGATAAGAGGGGGACACTGGAAAAAAAGGAGGATCAGAGAAGTCAGGATCAAATAGTGTTTTTACACAATGCAGAGGATTAACCCTTTAGGTCCCACAGTGAGTATAACAAGCATTATTTACTGCATATACAGACTGATTTTTACTGTTGTGGGTTTAGTAACACTTTAATGACTAGCAAGTATGTGCACTTTTTGTATTTGTGATCCTATAGTCCTCTGCATGATCACCCCAATGCTTAAAAAACGTTAGCTCTGAATTTTTTTTTATGTTTTTAGGTTCCTATATGACACTCCATGGCCAAACCTCCTTTGGAAAACTGATCGGCCAGCTTGGATTTTCCCATCAGACCTCTACAATTTTCCCCACAGCACTCCTACTCTTCAAACAAACCTGCAAATCTCCTGCTACAATCTTCAGTGTCTGTATAAAGATGTTTTGTTTGTTGGCTGTTGCATACATGCATAGTCATCCTGTGACAAATGTCTATAGACAGCTTAAAGTAGAACTATAGGCAAAACTTTTTTTCTCATTTTGGATAGAGTAAGGGAGGGTCAGTTTATTTTCTTGTTGTCTGTGTCCCATTAGGGAAATTTCTATTCACTTCCTGTCCCATAGCCAACACAGGAAGTGAGAAGAAACCCCCTACAAATATAAGGAATCTGTTGGGGCCCCCCAGGTCACCAGAACTAGTGTTCCCATTGGAAGATTTCCCCTCTATTACTTTTCTAGGGACAACCCAAATTTTGGGATTTTATTTTTCTTTCACTTTTTAATGATAATAGTAAACAGGACAAATAGAGAGGGTGAATCTCCCTAACAGGGGTGCAGACAGCAATACAAACTGACAGGCATTCTAATCCCTCTCCACTCCATCCAAAACTCTATCCTGAGCAGATGCCCCCCTATGATCCGGCGGTGGCCTGTCCTTTCAGCATTATCACATCCAAAGCAAGGACCCAGCATTGGTCTTGATGATGTCAGGACGTTAAAACACTGGAAAATGGGGAAGAAGATGCTGCGGGGACTGGTCTAGAGATTTTCTAACTGCTGGCTTGAAGACTCTGGATATCGGCCAAACAACAGAATGGCTGGCGTCCTCACCTAAAGTGAAAAGTTGATGTGCAATATCTTAAATCAGTATTAAACCCAAAACCAAAAATATAATATATTGCAGATTACTAATCCTTAGATTTGGTGGGTTCATTAGTTTTTTGGGTTTTTTTATTAGGCTTTTTTCCCCTCTTTTTTTCACCTGCTGATTTGGCCAGTAATGCACATCCTGTATTGCAGTGCCCCCACTTTGGATGAAGGAGCACAGGTGGCACCTTTGGACAGCAAATTTCCAGTCTGGGTGGAGGGGAGTGTTAGATGTACTAACATATTTAGCTCATACTGCAGTTATAGCAAACATTTTTTTTGGGGGGGATAAAGGTTTTAAATAAATAAATAAATAAAAGCTGATCATTTCAAACACCCCTGCCAGTGTTAAATGGTTTGTCTCAACACTCTAACTGCTACATTTGTAGGAGAGCCTGTTCTGTTGAAAAACAACAGATTTACTTGCTAGATCAGCAGATGAAAATAAAGGAAAAAAAAAACTAAAAAAAAAGACAACTAATGCAGCCATCATATCAAATAATTGAAAATATGACACAAAATATAACACTGTAAATATATAGATATCTGATGAGTGCCACTGAATTGGGGGAGGTTTTCCTCTTGTGTCATATATCAAATAATTGAAAATATGACACAAAATATAACACTGTAAATATATAGATATCTGATGAGTGCCACTGAATTGGGGGAGGTTTTCCTCTGGAGCATGTGGTGATATCTGAGTGCACTTTACTCAATCAATTATCGTTATGTTCATGTGGTGATTTTGGTGGATCAATAAGGACTTTGCACTTCATCACAATTTTCATTTTTCAGTTGATGGACTTATGTC